GCGGTAGATGTGGATGAGGAGGGGGTAGGGAGTTAGGTAGTGGAAGGGGAAGGGGGGAGGTGCGGGAGGAGATACGCTGCCCATGAAGTATTGGTCGCGGATCATGAGAAGTTTGATTAGGTCGAGGAGGAGGTAGGATTGGAGGAAGAGGATGAATGTGGTGCGGAGGCGAGCGCGCATGGTAATGGGCTTTGGAGGGGTGGTTTTGTTTGCTTTTTCTTCATGATGCTCTGAGGAGTTGTTGAGCTGTGCCTGGACTGAGGCTGGTAAGACGCCCATGGAGGAGATGCGCCAGTTCCATTCGGGCCCGCGCATGCTGGTGGCCACGCTTATGACCCAGTTGATACGGTGAGAAAGGTTCCGTGGGTATGGTTGCCATATGACAGATTCAGTGCTGCTGTCGTTGGTGATGTCTATGCATTTTGGTTCTTTGGCATGACCGTTGGCCGCAACTCCATTTGGGACAGCTGCGGTAGATGATATTGATAATGGGCGGCGCTCCAGGCGTTTGAAGTCGCGTTCAACATTGCGGAAGAGAAGAATTGTCGCGGCCCAGATGGTGCTCCATACGGGAATAAGACCGGCCATGTAGCCATTACCTCCCGTGAGCATGCGTCGATGCTGGAGAACATTGCCGGTGATGCCTATGATGCACGCCAGCACCAGGGGACGAACATAGCGGCCACCTCTGTGATGTGGGATAAGGAGCGCTAGAATGGACAGCACAAGAGGTAGTGTCAGATGCCACAATAGCACGGGCTTCACTTGGCCATTTTGGATGAGTGACTCGAACTGAGCTTCATTGTCGTGGATGAGGCGGCGGTATGAAAAAGGTGGTTGAGAGGCGGCCATCCTTCCGATGGCCAGATCTAGCGATAAGACTAGAAAAGAGAGGAATAGAACAAAGAGAGATAGTTATACAAGGTTAATATTAGGTGGTCTATGAAGCAACCATGAAGCTCAGATTAGTTAGGACACTCCATCGGGTGGCGACGAAGTCATCGCGATGCTTCCAGGCAAGGGGATCGCCACGCTGGCCACGGGCCGGTCCTGGCCGCGTTTGTTTTTTCCTTTTGAGTTGTTCATTTGTTGAGCGTCAAAAAGGCCCTCGCATCTTACATATCCGATCTGCAGAACTATTAGGGTCGGGGTAAATATAAGGCTACCCATGGTTCAAAGTATAATTAGTTGCTGCGTAGTTTCGAGCTTTTTTACTAGAGTGCGACCGTTGCTTCAGACGGAGATAAATTGGATCGGCAACCATCCCGCACGTTGCTTGCCCAGGGGTATCGAAGCCGGGAAGATCCTGTGAGAAGTTGGTTATTCCAAGGGTCGATCCTGGCTGTGGCGTCGATACTGGAACTGGAACAGCAACATGATCCAGTAAATCCCTGGAGAGTATCCGGTCGGAATATATCTGGCCTGTGTGAGCACAGCAATAGCGGTATGCCAGTTTGCAGTTGAAAGCATTGCGGTGTCCAACTCAGAGAGGTTGCTAGTACCATAAAAGCCTAGAAATTCCCAGTGTGATACCAAATTAAAGATCGTTAGAGATGCTCGTTTTTGAGTGGATATATAGCATTAACATTGTGAAGCCTGGGGGAATCCACGTTCCATGCAAGAATGCAGGGAGACAGAGGCCATCCACAATTGCCAGAAAGCACTACTGGGCGCTTTTATGCGGTATTTCAGAAGAGGAAGTAAGCACCCCTTTGCTTTGGAAGCAGATCCCGAAACGAGCAAACAGCTAAAATTTCTTAGTTAGCCAGAGAATTGATGAATCAATGACCGAATGAGTGGATCTCGCGTTTGGAGCCGGAGACCCCGAATGACTCGCGAAGGAAGAGTCTCCATCTGGGGTAGAGACCAAGATGGAGACATCATGGACCCTCCTTCTAATCTCACCATTCCATGGCTCAACACTCCATATTATCCGTCATTATCCTGCATTATTCATGAAATGCACAGATAAGCGAAATGCTTGGTCAGAGTGCCCTCAAGCTAACTAACTACCCATGAATGGATTCATCAGCATAATCGGCAGGACGATGGAGATTTCTTCATCCTTCAGACACACAAAGCCGTTCAAGGTTCAACATCATCGGTCGGCCAAAGCCGCCCTTCTCGCGTGGCTTCGGTTCCTCTCGTATTCCGTCTCCGTCTTATGCATTCAAGAGCGTGCATCCTTGTGCACTGAGGCCATTCCACCAACCATATGCCCGAACCGTTCATGTTTGGGCCTCCAAACCAGGAATCGATCGCCGGATTGAGTATGTTTTATGCGACCAGCTCTTATGCACAAGAATCCCACACAACCCGGTTCACACTAATTCGCCGGTCCATCCAATGTTGTCATGCTCGTCTCGACTGGAACCTGGTGCTCCCCATTAGTAGTAGTATCTGGGGCTCACCTCCGCATGATGATTGGAAGATGCACGGCGCTCGTGCTCGCCCATAGCCCATATGGGGAGCCCAATATCGGGGTCGGTTATTGGGTTTGCGCAATCTGGGATCAGCTGCTCTATCGCCAGCTCCCTCGTTATTAGAGGCTGCAGAATCCTCCTCAATGACTAGCCTCTTCGGTGTATTTCGCATGGCCGGTTTGCTTCTTTCCACTAGTCAGTGGCCATGAATACAGGGTTGGTCCCAGGTGGCCCCCAAGATACATAATCTCGAGTTTTCCCTGCTCGAGTAGTGACTGTTTGTTTGTGGTTTGAGTCATTCATCCACCGTGTTCTGGCTGCCGTTTTTCTTGCAAACAAAAAGAACCACCAAGCATGGCTGGTGACAATCTCCCGGCTGCCGGGGTGCCGTCCATGCCCAACTGCATCTCTTACTGGCGCCTACTGCTCGACCAGGGCGTGCTAACCCAAGAAATCCTCGATTATCCATGGGAAGGCTCTGGCACTGAAGACGACCCGTACCTCGTCACCTGGATTCCGAACGATCCTCGGAATCCCATGAATTTCCCCGCCTGGCGCAAATGGCTGTATACGATAACGGTGGCTTGGGCTACGCTCGCCGTGTCCTTGGTCTCGTCGGCTTACAGTGGAGGAGTCGAGCAGATAATGGAAAGCTTTCATGTGGGCACTGAGGTGGCCACGCTCGGCATTTCGCTCTTCGTGTTGGGCTTCGCCATCGGCCCTCTGCTCTGGGCCCCCATGAGCGAGCTCTGGGGCCGGCAATACCTCTTCTTCGTCAGCTATTGTGGGCTCGCGGCGTTCAATGCCGGCATCACCGGCTCCAAGAACATCGAGACCCTCATCATCCTACGCTTCTTCGCCGGTGCATTCGGATCGTCGCCCTTGACAAATGCCGGAGGAGTGGTGGCGGATCTGTTCCCCGCGAAGCAGCGGGGGTTGGCCATGAGTATCTTCGCAGCGGCACCGTTTATGGGTCCAACCATCGGCCCGGTTTGCGGAGGCTTCCTGGGGATGAACGCGGGATGGAAGTGGGTGATGGGATTCCTGGCTGCTTTCTCCGGTCTTCTCTGGATCATCGGTAGCCTGGTGGTGCCGGAGACCTACGCCCCGGTGTTATTACAGCAGCGCGCAAAGAAGCTAACCAAGGTGACGGGGAAGCTCCATCTAAGTAAGACCGAGGCAGAGAAGGGGAAGGTCCCCTATTCCACCGTCTTCAAGACAGCACTGTCGCGGCCGTGGCTTCTTCTGTTCCGTGAACCGATTGTCTTCCTACTCTCCGTCTACATGGCGATCATATATGGAACGTTGTACATGATGTTTGCTGCATTCCCCATTGTGTACGAGGAGCTGCGCGGTTGGAACCAGGGTGTCTCTGGTCTATCATTCCTCGGGGTCATGGTGGGCATGAACATAGCAGTTCTGTACAGTATCTGGGACAACAAACGGTACGAAAGAACTGATGAAGCTCACAAGGGATTTGCACCTCCAGAAGCGCGTCTCCCTCCGTGTCTGATTGCGTCAGTGATGATTCCCTTGGGCCTCTTCTGGTTCGCCTGGACAAATTACCCTTCGATCCACTTCATGGCGAGTATCGCGGCCTGCGTGCCTTTCGGGTTCGGCATGGTGCTGGTCTTCCTCAGTTTGATGAATTACCTGATCGATGCCTACACTATCTTCGCCGCCTCGGTGTTAGCCGCCAATTCCGTTCTGCGCTCAATCTTTGGCGCCGTCTTTCCGCTCTTCACGACCTACATGTACCACAACCTTGGGGTCCATTGGGCCTCCAGCATTCCTGCATTCCTGGCACTGGCGTGCGTGCCGTTTCCCTTCTTGTTCTATAAATACGGTCCGGCGATCCGAACCCGGTGCAAATATTCGGCGCAGTCGGATGCCTTTATGAGGAGACTGATGGAGCAAAGCACGCGAGACAACCGTCAGCCGGAGCCGGAGAAGGATATTACTGAAAAAGAGACCGAAGAGAAAGAGACAGAAGTATCGCCGGTTCAGGCCTCTTCGTCCACACTCGGGGAGAAGTCGCGACTCGGTGATCTCCCTGCTGTGACAGCCGAAGACGCCGCCCGGACCCGTTCGATAGCGTCGCAAGGGTCGCGTCGACCGGGCTCTGCAAAGGCAGAGTCTGTGTACGAGGGAAATCCGTATGATGTTGATCGAGTGAACACTCGTGACTCGTTCAAAGAGTAAACAATCGCTTCTGTAAATGTATTGTGTGTGTCGCACCTCAGACCATCTTGGCATCGGGACTTAAAATTAAGGTGCGGTTAGTTGCATGGCTAGCGTTGTCGTATATAGAATGGTAGATATGCACTAAAACTTACGCTGCAGAAATTCAGGGGGTAAATCAGACAATAGAATATATCTTCTCAATAATGTCCTACAATGAACGAAGCAACTGCCAGTCACTTAAAGTATAGAGTAGTATCCACCCAAGTCACATGGGGCCGCGATTTAGCGCGTTTCTCCACTTCTTATCGAGTAAACTTATCAGTGACATCCCCGATTCTATCTATCAACTTTCGTCATTCCCTCCCTTCATCTCCGCCACCCCCATCCCTCATCATGGATCGCACCCCAGGGAAACGCTCCTTCGAGCAGGTAGATCAGACCACCGACGAAGCCGTCAACAACACGCGACACCATCCCACTCCACGCACCACCACCGGCCAACGTTTCGGCCAAGACACGTCCTTCGTGCCCCTCAGCCAATCGGGCGAGGACGAAGACGACGCCCACGCAACAGATCTCATCCAAGGAAGCCAAGATGCTGGTGATGATGTTTCCACGTACATTCACTATGGGGACCTGAAGGCCAAGATTGTCGGCGTGCGGTACTATCGCGGACATGCTACGATCGGGGAACATGTTCGCGTTGTGCGCGATCCCGGGAATCCGTATGATTCGAATGCGATCCGCGTGGATAATGTCATGGGGCAGCAGATCGGACATATTCCGCGCACGGTGGCGGCGAAGCTGGCGAAGTATTTGGTAAGTAGTTTTTAAGTTAGATTGTATTGTATAGTTTGAAGTTATTTGGGGCTAAGTTTAATGGTGCGGTTTCTGCCTCGGGGTGGTGTAGGATGATAGTTCTCTTGTCGTTGATGGAGTCTTGACCGGTGTGATTGGCACTTTTGATTGTCCTATTGTTCTGAAGCTGTTCGGGACTAGTCAGCCGGAGGCCAGACAGGCGCTGAAGAGTCGGATGGAGATGGATAATCTGCCTCTCGGAGGGTTCAAGCAGAATGAGCGCAATGAGAAGAAATTGGAGAAGGAGCGGGAGAAGGCGAGAAAGGAGGCAGCGAAGCAGGCTAGATCGCTTGCTAAGGGCAAAGGGAAGCAGTTCCAGGGAGAGAATGCACTGGGGTATTCAAATCTCTTCACTGGGGAAGGGCTCGTTGAAGGCGAGGACCTGGACGAACTTATCGGCCAGAGCAGCACTTTCAATCCACGCGATATCGGCCATGTCGCCGAGGACTTTGGTATGAAGGAATCTGACTTGGAGAATATGCCGATGGCGGAGTCTCCGGCTGCTCTGGCGACAGAGCTTCTTCCGTATCAGCGTCAAGGGCTTGCTTGGATGATTGCTAAAGAGAATCCGGGTCTTCCTGGCGATGGGGATGATGTCGTGCAGCTCTGGAAGAAGAATGGGAACAAGTACACCAATATTGCTACCAACTACTCTATGACGCAGGCTCCGCCTCTTGCGAGCGGTGGTATACTCGCTGATGATATGGGACTGGGCAAGACTATCCAAATCCTTTCACTGTTACTGGTCAATTCTCAGCCCAAGACTCCGGAGTCCTCCAGGACCACGCTGATCGTGGCTCCAGTCGGTGTGATGAGCAATTGGCGAAACCAGGCGCTTGTTCATACTCATAGCGACAAAGCCCCGAAGGTGCTGATATACCACGGGCAGGGGAAGAAGGAAGCGAGCAACCTTGACCAGTATGATGTGGTTGTTACAAGCTATGGTGCCCTGGCAATGGAGTACAGCCCGAATGTCAAAGCACCACCGAAGAAAGGCCTCTTCTCCATCCATTGGCGCCGTGTCGTCTTAGACGAAGGACATACCATTCGCAACCCACGGTCCAAGGGTGCCCTGGCAGCTTGTAACCTGAGGGCGGGTTCACGATGGACTCTTACGGGAACGCCCATTGTCAACACACTGAAGGACCTCTACTCCCAGGTCCGCTTTCTGAGACTGACTGGTGGCCTCGAGGATCTGGCCGTCTTCAATAGTGTCCTGATACGACCTCTGTTGTCCGGGGACCCCGATTCCCGCCTTCTACTCCAAGCCTTGATGACAACTATCTGCCTACGCCGCAGGAAGGACATGAACTTTGTGAACCTGCGTTTGCCACCCCTCACATCCCGCATCCTGCGCATCAAGTTCCACCCCCACGAGCAAGAGAAATACGACATGTTCCAGTACGTATTGCAACCACCTTTCTTGATATACATCTAACACCAGCAGATCCGAGGCCAAGGGCATGCTCCTGGACTTCAAATCCAAAGATAAAACCACCACCAATTACTCTCACCTCCTCGAAGTAATCCTCCGTCTCCGACAAGTCTGCAACCACTGGGCTCTCTGCAAAAACCGACTCGACAAGCTCGCCGACCTCCTCGAAAACAACAAAGTCGTCCCCCTAACCCCCGAAAACATCAAAGCCCTCCAAGACATGCTCCAAATCCGCATCGAAAGCCAAGACACCTGCCCCATCTGCCTCGACAACCTCGAACAACCCGTAATCACCGCCTGCGCACACGCCTTCGACCGATCCTGCATCGAACAAGTCATCGAACGCCAACACAAATGCCCCATGTGCCGTGCCGAAATCCCAGACACCGCAACCCTAGTCTCTCCCGCCGTCGAAATGGGCGAAAGCACAGACACCGTGGACGCCGACCCCGACAATCCCAGCAGCAAGATTGAAGCCTTGATCAAAATCCTCACAGCACAGGGTCAAGCGTCCGGAACCAAAACCGTCATCTTCAGCCAATGGACCTCCTTCCTCAACCTCATCGAACCTCACCTCCTCCGCCACGGCATCGGCTTCGCCCGCATCGACGGCAAAATGTCCTCCATCAGCCGCGATAACTCCACCCTGCGCTTCTCCACCGACCCATCCTGCACCGTCCTCCTTGCTAGCTTGAGCGTTTGCAGCGTCGGATTAAACCTCGTAGCAGCTAACCAGGCCATTCTCTGTGATAGCTGGTGGGCTCCCGCTATTGAAGACCAAGCCGTCGACCGTGTATACCGACTCGGTCAGACGCGCGAAACCACCGTATGGCGACTCGTCATGGAGGATAGTATCGAGGATCGCGTACTGGCTATTCAGGAGAATAAGCGGAAGCTGATGCTCGAGGCGTTCAGGGAGACGGCGACGAGGAAGAAGGTCGATGACAGAGCGACGAGGGTGGCGGATTTGGAGAAGTTGTTGAAGTAGTTTCAGCTGTGCAAAATAATACTTTCAGTGGGCTAAGGGATATATGGGTTGATTTTCTTGTTTCTAGCTTTGTAATCGGTTTCTGTGTGGTGATAATTGTTTATTCTTCCTTCCGGCATTACTTTCTTCACGTCCCTGTTTACTTTCATGACACTTGTTCTCACTTAGAATCCTCACCAAATGTACTACTAGTAGCATACTCATCATAATCCATATTCATAAATCTCATTAATTCTATGTGCAAAACACAAAGACTGACGTTAGATAAAAAAAAAAAAAAGAAAAAATACAAAGAAAAGATAAAGAGGGCCGACGCAGCAGAAGTGCATTTCGCTAATACAATACAATCTTGAAGGGAACGCCATGTAGGGACAAGAATTGGAGGTATGGTATGGTATGCTATCTCTTCCTCGTTGGGGAGGGGGGATGGTTGCATAGGGGGTGTCAGGTATGTACTGTAATGAGGAATGAGGTAGTCTTCTGCTGCGATTCGGAGTGTAGGATTGATATTATGTGCAAAGAATAATAGTAGCGAAAATCCTCACTGAGGCCTGCAGCTCGGCTTATTCTGGTCCTGCAAATCTTGCGGTGGCTCTGAGTGATCTCTTATTGCGCTTGAGTTCTCAGTAGTACTGCCGCCGCCGCCGTAAGTAGGTTGTGCTGATGTAGCTGTATCAGAGGGGTTTTGGGCAAGAGCAGAGGTGTTGGAGTGTGTGCTATTTCCAGGCGTTGCAGGAGTGCTTCGAGCATGAGATAGGTCAGGACTGGTCATCATTAGGCCGGGGATAGCAACAGGTGTCTGTGGAGCTTGTTGCGTGATGCTCGTGTCTGGGGCCAGAGCCGGAGGGCCGACATTGTGTGCACTAGCTGGGATGGTGGGCTGGAGTGCAGGTGCCGATGGCTGAGGGGTAAATGGTTGTGGAGGACGTTGAGACGGTAGTGGGCTGAAATGCATTTGTGGAGGTAGGCCATAAGGCCCGGATCCCTGTGCTAAGGCAATTCTTTGTCTTTCGATGATCATCTTCTGATAAGCTTCGTAATTGGTACGTTTTAGCCGCTCGTCATCGAGTTGCTGCTGAGCAGCATTCTTCTCGTCCTCGGTCAACTTGTCGTTGTCGTCTTTTTGGAACAGCTCTGTGAGTTTGATCTTGCGGATTAGTCTTTGGTTTTCATCGGATTGAGCGTCCGCGCGGATGATTCTGTCGAGGACTTCTGGGTCTTTTCCGAGACACTCTGTTACGTCTTGTTGGGGTGTTTGCTTCGCCGGGAAGAGGTACTCTCCGAGGGACCTGGTGGCTAAGCGGATTGGGTTTTTCTTGTCGACGACACGGAAGGCAAGTTGGGTTTTGAAGACGGCTTTGTTGTACATGACTTCTTCGAAAGTTCCGCCTGCGATGAATCGGTAGACGAAGACGGGCTTCTTCTGGCCTAAGCGGTAGGCACGTCCGACGGCTTGTTCCTCCCAGACGGGATTGAATGTGAAGTCGAAGATGATGACACGGTTGGCACCGAAGATGTTTAGGCCGAGGCCGCCAGCACGGGTGGAGATCAGGTACACGTCCTCTGCAGACCCTTGATTGAATAGCTTGGTGGCATGTTGTCTGTTGGCAATTGGGGTGCTTCCGTCTAGACGGCAATACTTCCAATTAGACGCCTTGAGGATATCGTTCTCGACGTAGTTGAGTGTAGGTATGCTGTGGGAAAACACAAGCACCTTATCTCCAGCCCGGACGGACTCTGCGATGATCCTGTTCAGAATTTCGGCTCGACAGGATAGTGTTGCGGCGCCCATGTCAGTAACAGTGGAGAAGAGCTGCTCTTGTTTGGACACGAGAGTTTCAACGTCCAGACCCAGCTGCGTGATAGGCTCGTCACCCGGGGCTGGTTCAATCGCGGCGCCGTCTAGTAATTTATCGAGCTTCTGGGCCTCGCTGGCTCTGCTGAGTAGCTTATCTCTGAAGCAAGCCGGGTGATTGCAGCAGAGACCCAGAACGGCTAGCCAAGACAGTAGCTTCATCCTGCTAACGTCTTCACTGCCCTCTAGAACTGACTGCACGTATAGATCGTAGGCGGACTTTTGCACAGCCGTTAACGGAACAGTAATGACGAATTCGACCTTGGGAGGCATGCTGCCCTCGAGGACAGAGATATCAGCTCGGTTGATCTTTGGTTCAAGGATCTTGTTCAGGACCTGAAGCTTCACAAGAGACCGCCGCCGCTCGCTATGTGTGCTGTCCACGTACAGCCCCTCCTCGATTGGCTCTACAAAGTTAGCCTTGAACTCTGTAAATTCTCCCAGATAGCCTTTTGCAATCCAGTTGACCATAGTAAAGTAATCCACAAGGTTATTGGCAAGAGGAGAGCCCGTCAATGCAATGCGACTCTGAGAGCGGAACTGCATGGCCGCAAGAGTAATGCCAGAAATGGGATTCTTCATTTTATGAGCTTCATCAGCAACAATGATGTTGGCTCCTTCCAGAAGCCACTTCTTGATGTTCTCGTGCTGCTCTTCCGTAAGGGGTTGGCCTCTCTTGCTTGTTTCTTTATTATGAATCCATGTCCGAAATATGTCATAGCTGATAAGAAGTACTCCGCCTTCTTCATTCCAAGAGGCCACAGTATCCAGTCTTTCCGACAAAGAAGCCGAGCTGGTGATTTTGTTCACAGGCCCGATGGCCGAATCCTTAGGTGTCCACATGATGAACTCTTCGTACCAGTTCTCGATCAGTGACGACGGACATAGGATAAGGGTCTGGGATCGAAGGAGGTCATCTGGAATTTGCTTTCTTATCCATGGGTTCTCAGAAGCAGCTGCATTAGCTATAGTCACAAGGAGGGAGATGACCTGCATCGTTTTACCCAAGCCCATTGTATGAGCTAGCAGACAGCCCTGATGTTTTCCACCATCCTCAGTCAGCTCTCGCCACATAAATTGGATGCCATGCAGTTGATGAGGTTTGACACGCTGTCCGATATGAGGGTCCAAGTAGATGACAGGATCGCCAAAGCTGACAGCCTGGCGAGTGGCATCAGTATTACTGACACCCATGCTTTCCAATTTGCGTTCAAGCTTCTGCCTCAACCTCTCTTGAATAGCAACACGAAGTTTGGCGTTTTCTTGATCCATTTTTGCGGCTTGGCTCTCCTTCACTTCACGTTTCCTTTTCTTGTGGGGTGAGTCAAAAGCAGCCATGGCAGTCTGTTGCCGGTTTAAATCCCAGGTTTGATACGCATCCAAGCGGCAGGAGAGTTCCTTGTAAAACCCGGGAAAATCCGCGACACGCGCTTTTGCCTCCCAAACATGGGCTTTTGGGAAGCCCTTCACGAGATAATGAGCGCAGTTTATCCATGAAATAAAGAGTGATGCCGTGCGCAAGACAAAACTAGCCTCATCAGGTTTCGAATGAGGCAATGTGTCCTTGCCTCTAGACAGTCTGTTCAAAGCATTGTTTGTGAGGTGTTGCAGGCGTTCTACGTCATATGTCGGAACCATCCTAGTCAATCTCTGTCGTTCTTCATCTGCCAGTGATGCTATCAACTTTGCCAGGAGTCTGCAACAGTCACGACGCTCTTCCAGGAGCCTCCAAGCAATACCTTTCAGTTTGTCAAAATCGTTGATTTCGGGTAGGTCCACTACTATATCTATTTGAGGCCTCGCAGAATTTGCAGACTGTGCGGTGCCGTCTTGTTTCGGTGGTGACGGTACTTCGGTTTTCGGTATCGCGACATTCGGTATCTCGACATACACTTTAGGAGGAAGCTTTGGTGCAGGAGATATCTCTCTTGACAAGACATGTTCAGATTGCGGCGTCTGTCGCGCTGGGTTCAGTGGGGGCGTCTCGACGGTAAAGTCATCCTCTTCAGACAGTGGATCATCGCCGGTCAGATCAATAGTTTCTATTGGGCCTTCAGGAATTGGCGGAGGGGAGGGAGAACTGGACACGACGAAAGGATGTGCCCTAGCCCTGAGTTTTCGCCTTCGTCCAGAAGGACTAATAATATCATCGTCGTCCGACGAAGGAGTAGGGCTTTGGCGGAAAACGTCATCTTCGACGAGATCGACGACAGAGTCGTCATCCTCAATGAAGTCCTCAAGTGAGTCGTCATCAAAAGGGCCATTATCGGTTTCCGAGCCGAGTGACTCTTCATCCTCGCCAATGCTTTGCCGTTTAGGAGGCAAAGGCCTCACAGGGAAAGCCATCTTGGGAGGACACTTCTCGAGTTCAAGAACGGATATAAGCCACTTCTGCTTCTGGATGTTGATGACGGTGTTCTCCAGGCTTCGGCACTGTACTTGTAGCTCTTTTCGGGATGCATATTCACCTTCCTCTATCGCTTTCGTGAATACACCCAGACGTCGTTCCAGAAGATTGATATCGCGTGTGAATGTCTTGATTTGTTTATTAGTGGTTTTACCTCTCCTGGAAGATAACCAAATTCTCCGTGCCTTTGGCTCTTCTTTTTTCTTTCCATCTTGCAGCCACTTGTTCTCATATTCTGAAATGCAACTAGCAATGATAGCTTTGATTTCAGCAGATGTAAGGATTGTTTGCCGCGGCAATGGTTCCTGGCGTTCATCCTCAATCTCCTGCCATGTGTCGTCATCGTACTCCCCCTCTGATCCTGAGTCTCCATATAGCGGAAGGGTATCAAGGCCATCATCATTATCGTCCTGTGCGGGGTACTTTTGTAACAAGTAGGCAAAGGGGTCATGGTCCTTTGCGCCTCCGTTGTCGGCCTTCTCCGACTGAACCAATTGCGGCCACTTCTGTAGTTCGTCTTTGGAGACTGTGACTCTGCCATTATGCACAGTATACAAAGTGCAAGCCCTTGGGCTGCTAGGGCCTATGACTACTTCCTTCTTCGACGGTTTACTCTTTTGCTTGGTCAAGTCTCGATAGGGAACCAAAGCTGACTGGGTGGAGCTTAACTTGACAGGCCGCTGCTTGAGGAGATAGAGAAGTCTCTGGTTCACGAATCTGCGCTGGCCATCTGGAAGTCTGGAGCCGATCATTGAGAAGGTCCGGTCACTCTCTTCTGGGTCATAGTCTGAGTCAGAAGCATAGAATAGCCTGGATACATTCAGCTCTTCCGGACCCATGTACCACTCTTTGGGACTTTTATGTCTGCTTGTCTGTTTTGGGACATTATAGTCAGACTCATCCTGAGCCAAGGCACTGAGATTGAGCTTTCTTCGTTTCTTGCCATGAGCATCGACAATCAAATCCTCCCCAGGCCGAATGCGTCTTTCAGGTGGTTGTTCTGGAGTTGACGGGGTGTTTTCCTCAATTCGCTGAACAGTAGCAGGACGGCTTGCAGCCTCGGTTGCATTGCGATGCTCCACAGGATCAGCCCTACGTTCAAAATCAGCTTTGGGGCGATCTCCGGAAGGCTGCTGCGGCGGGACCTTGAAGGAAGGAGTCTGAAGACGAGGACTTTGGTGAGGCGCTCGTTGTGGTGTCACATTTTGGGACGAGGGCAAACGGTACACTGAAGTGTCTAGTCGAGGAACAACCGGGCTCGCATAGTCGACGTGATCTTCAGACAAACTGCCTAAATTTCTGGATTCCTGGAACTTGAGACTCTTTCGCTGGAGATAGCGGATTGCCATGAGTATAGAGCTACGATGACCAAGAGCTCTCACGCCAAGGTCTTCCCGTAAAGTCTCTTTGTCTACATCATGCAGCAGCACCTCGCCAGTAATTTCATTCTCCCGAAGCGTAGCTTCAAATGTGACAGGGTCCGGTCGTGGAGCACGCGATGATGACCGAGACCAGGGTGTCTGGGGATTTCGACACAGGAATTGCACCACCTCATCGACCGTCCAATCGAGAGGATCTCCGCCAGGCTCCATTTCAATGGGCCAGCCAAGCTGGCTTTAAATATTAGCGGTGGTGGGATTTCCAGAATACTCCAGCACTCTTAAAAAACCATTTCCGGTGCCTGAGTAAAGTCTCAAAACGGCCGGGCGGATATAGCATCTCCGGTGCTTGGTCACTTCACCAGCCACACAAATGATCGCTAAATTGAAGAGTAAGAAAAGATGAGCGAGCGAAAGAATAGCTTCTAGATAAGTAGAAATTCAAAACAAAGGCACGCGCAGAGAAGCGCGCAACAACGAGGCGACGAGGCTACAGGAACAACGCGTCTAATAAGGCGGAGATAATGATTTCAGTTGTTTCTGCCGGCAGCCAAGGCGGTCGGTCGATCACCCCACCAAGAAGAGAATGACTAATCTGGGCCCTCAGCAGGAGAAGTATAGAAGTATAAAAGTGGAGATGATGTGGAAATGAAGTTGAAATGAAGAACTATCTGATATCTGAAATTAGGAAGTGACCACTCCGTAATGGCGAGACCCCGTGCAACTCACTCCGCACGAGCCTGACGTCGGAGAGATATCGCCGTGTATGCGGAACCCGCCGATCCCTCAGACCATTTGGATGCATCATATGGATGAGGCCATGCAGATTCGGCTGGGGGTATTTCTATCATGAAGATTAATCTTGGCAGGAAGCTTCCAGGCCCACATATTCTCCGTGATACGAAGCTATCAGGCAGCATCATCTGAACATGATGTGAGGCTAATGCGATCGCAAGCTTGTTTTCATGAAGAAGCATTTTAAATTGGCTGACTGCCTAGTAAACATCAATTAACAGTACACCGAGGGTATTCGCTTCATGTTAACTCCTTTCCGGCTGCGCGCAACAAATACTGCAAGAACAAATAAAGATTGAAATCAAAGCCAAACCAACCGCGGCAGTCATCTTGGCGCCCAATTTTATCTTGACCTCTCTCATTCGCTGTTGAACAAGACCAGAATTCTCCATATTGGAAATTGAAACAGAAAAAAGAAATGAAAACGAAAAGAGAGGGAAAAAAGAAAGGAAAAAAGAAAGAAAAGTAAAAGGAAAGAAAAGGCAAAGGAAATAAAAAATACAGAACAACAACTCAACTAAAAGCATCAGACGACCGCAGAAACAATCAAATCGAACGGCCCAAGTCATGACCGATAATGTGAAGCTTGTTCACGGGCCAAAAAATGGCAGGTTGAAGACATAACGTTCCCCGACATTCAACTCCCGGAGGCAATGGTTGAACAAAGCGACCTGGTAAGGGTTCGGCAATGCATCCAGGGCCAGAGGCGGCTTCATCAGGAACAGCCCGCCTGTTGGCTGCCTTGCCTTGATGCCCGCACAACACGGCGCCGTGGTTGGAGTCGGGAGCTGCATCTCTTCATATGGGTTGAAGAGTGTTTGATTGCCCGACTTTCCTGGCTTCAGGCCGTTGGTTGACTTTACCTCGACCTTCGTCCAATGGCCAACCGTCTCCAGGACTTGGTAACCGTCGCTCCATGGGTTTTTCGCACCCAAGGTCATGTCAAGGTCCATCGGGCACACGTTGCCAGGAAGTTCCATGTCCGGGACCTCACCCCGGAACACGGGCAGTGGCCCAGTTGGCTGATCAAAGTGCTGTTCGGCGGGGACAAGCTTGTATAGTGGCTCGACCTGGACTGCATCAAGCATTGGCCAGTCCTCCTTGACATTCGATTCGTCCACATCAGGAACAATAGCGGTAACTGGGACGGGAATTGTGTCGGGGGCAGGCATCTCAACGGCGAACACACTTTCACCGGGCATCATAAGCTGTTTGATCTGAGAGTTGGTAGGAACTCCGCTGTCGATTCCATTCTGAGATGGGGCTGGTCCGACATTCTGAAATACTCGCAGAGCTTCTTTTGCTGTATTGACAAGCATCTGCTCTTGTGCCTTGGGCATCTTCTTAGGTTTCTTGGGCCCAGTAGCCCGCATACAACGCTTGCGCTTCTTGCGCTTCTCCAATGTGTAGGTAGGTGGGAGAGGGATCCGTCCGCCAGCTTCACCCAGGGCTGGAATGATCAAGCCGGGAGTAAGTCCTCGAGTGGTATTAAGGTTAGGGTCAATGCCGTGCTCCATCAAGGTCTGCATCAATTTAGACTCAAGCTCACGACTCAACTTATTGCCTGAATCCCAGGCCAACATGCCGAACGCCTGTCTGAACCGTCCGCCGCGCTGCTGCAGTGCGTTAGGCGCAATACGGAACTCCGGACTCATGCGATCGGTGATATCGCTGAGGCGGATCCGTCTATCAAGACGCATCCAAGCTTCCACGCGGAACTCGTCCACATCGGAGGCGATGTGATCAGGCAAGACGGGAATATCGCGCAGGACCTTTCCGTTAATGGGGTAGGGCATATCTGAAGGCTCGATCTTGCTCTTGGGGCCAGTAGGCTTGAGCTGATAAAGGATGTGCGGCAGATTGTCCCACGACCAGTCTTGCTGCTCAGGATGGAAAGAAGTGAAGTCGCCTGAGTCGGCTTGGGCTTGGCAAGCCTCACGGTAGGTAGATTGAACCGATTCTTGAAACGAAGCTTGCACTGGTTCTTGTCAGTTTCTTGATCCCGACTGCGGATGTATACTAACTCGTTGCATAGTTCTGTTTCAACATGTCCTGGAAAGCATTGGTGCTTTCAGTAGAGAGGATAGCCATTGTGAGAGATGATTATGTCGTTGTCTTGACTGAGAACGATTTAGATAAGAGAAGTCTTTTCCGAAAGAATTTATTAGAACAGCGAAGCCTTGAGACAGCCACGCAGCTCAATTTCTTGATTGAGAACGATCAACAGAAGGGAAGCCTTTTCCGAAAGACCGGATGAGAGAAACGAAGCTTTGAACCTGGCACGCAATTGAAGATTGATACTATCCACGAACGAATTCAAACGAAGAAAAGCACGAAATGACAGATAGACTATGCACGAAGCAGATGAACTGGGTGGAGAACTCGCAAGAGGAAGAGAAGAGGAAGATATTCGACTAGGTCGTCTGGTGTTCGGGGGGACCATTGTCTATTTAACAACATACGATTAATAGAGGGGCTGGCATAGAGCTCTACATAGGGTATGGTCCATGAGCAGAACTTCATTGTTCGAATTGGAGGAGAGGAATTCACTCAGGATGCTCTGTCGAGCTCTTCGAAGTTTCCTATATGATGCCTTTTAGTGGCCGTTACTGCGGCCCTGACGATCATTTCGGTCTATCCTGAAGATGAGCGATTGAGCAGACAGAGCTCTATCCAACGAACCTAATCATGCCTATATTCGAATTATCTTTGCATGCGCAATTCCACAAAGCATATAATCTACTGAAGCCATCATTTAGCATCGTTAAGCCGATATCCCCAAAATCACATCTGACTGCGAACTACCCATGACAGATCTGACTGCGTGCCCCAGTGCACCAGCCGCCAATATAGCAGTCACTGAGCCTTATAGATCTGGCTTGGCCAATCAGAATCCCGGAGGCTGGATCTACCTCTGTGACAGGGTCCACCTTGAAACTGGGGCCCCGTAGTAACAAAGGTATCAATACATTGGTCTTTGTTCTTGGGTGGGTCTCTATTGTTGCTTCCGTGGCTCAATGGTGATTGAATGCAGCGGCTGGGTTAGGTATTGTGACTCAATACGGAATTGTCTTGTTCTGTACTGCAGGCTGGGGTGTTCACTGTTAATGCCCTCACAAGAGGCTGGGAGTGGACGATTTGGTGAAGCAGTTGGCTGTGAGGTGTGGTTTGGTATGTTCAGGAATGAACAATTGGTTTGATGGTAGTGATATGGAGTAACACTGGGTGTATATCAGCTTGATATGAGGTTTTTGCATTGTAGCTGTAGCTGCAGCTCATCGCTCAGCCGGAGTTCTTAGTATAGAGAGCACACAGTATAAGCCAGCCTACAGTAGTAGTAAACAATTCCACCATAGTGTGGAGTAGTAACCCAATCGCCTACAGGCAATATAGCTCCCATTGCAAATGGCATCATAATGTCATGAGTAGTGTAGATAGTTAGTAGGGCACCAAATGATCCTAATCGGAGCCATATACATCCCGCATCTCACAGCCAATAATCGGCCCCAGATATACATACTACTAGTACTTCCCTCTAACCCGCAATCCATCACCCGCCAAACAACTACATCTCCTCCAAACATCCACCACCACTTCATTAAACCCATCTTCCAACATACACCCCTCCACACCCTCACACATCTTTACAATGAACCAACAATGTCCACCCCCCTCCTCCGCCTAATCCAATCCGCAACCACCAAATCCCGACCCACCAACAACCAACTCTACACCCTCCAAATATCCTGTCACGTAAAGCCAAACGCCTCAAGCAACCGCGAAGGCATAACCTCTATTGCAGCAGACAGGGTAGATGTATGCGTCGCAGCAGTACCCAGGAAAGGCGAGGCAAATGCAGCCGTGTCGCGTGTTATGGCGCAGGTGAGCACACACCCCCTTCTCATCCAATATGAACCAAATTCTCTCTTCAATATATATAAAACAGTTAATAATAATGAGAACAGATCTTCCAAGTCCCCAAATCCAACGTAGAAGTGATCCGTGGATTAAAGTCCCGAGAAAAGACCCTTGCTATTTCGGAGCTGGATATTGGGAAGCACAGCGAAGATGAGTATTTACAGAGGGCGCGGGGGATATTAGAGAGGGCTGTTATGCAGAAATGATTGCTTATATATATATATATATAAGTAATTTCTTAGTTCGTATTCATGTATTTATTTATCTTCAGTGGTGATTGTTGTTAACATCGCTCCCGCAAGCGCGACACCGCCGGCCGTGACATCACATCACGGGGGATTTTTCTTTCCTCAACTTTCTCCGCCCGCATCGCATCGCATCGCATCGCATATCCCCAGTTTAATTCAACGCAATTCCTCCCTACCTACCTACCTACCTACCTTCTCAATCTCTACTACCTACATATCCACGCCTCTCTCTACAACAACAACAACAACACCACCCACCCAGAAATACACAATGTCAACAACAACAACAACAACAACAACAACCACACCCTCAAAACGCAAATCCTCCTCCTCCACCCCCAAAACCATCCACTTCACCTCGCGCACACCAACATGGACATATCTCAAACTCCAATTGTACGTGCCATCTCTTCTTCGAATATACCTACGATTCTGACTAATTTCATCTAGAATAAATAACCCCCCCACCTCCACAACATCCACACCCCTCGACCCCGTCACAGCCCGAACCTACCTCTCCGCCGCACTCTCCCAATTCCTCGGATTAACGGGAACATCTATCCCCATTGATATACTCAAGATATCGCCGCCGTCGTCATCATCAACATCTACTGGGGGAAAAGCAGGAGGAGGAGGAGGAGGAGGAGCGGGGTTAGGAAGCACAGTATGGACACGCGTGCCGCGCGAGGATGCGGCGGCGGTTGTGGCGGCGCTGAGTTCGTGGATTGGAGGGAGTGCGAATGCATCAGGTGGTGGTGGTAGTGGTGATGTGGGAGGAGGAGGGGGGAGCGTGGCGTGGAGGGTCTGTGCGAAGGGGAATTATCTCGGGGCGTTGGTTAATGGGGGTGGGGGGGAGGTGTTCATTCCTTGATATTTGATCTCTGATCTGGGTGTGGGTGAGGATGAATCTTGGGGGGATATGGGATGTTTGGGGTGAGACAGGGTGATGGATTATACGGCTGTGTGGTTGGTTGAGATAGGCTCTTGGGGGCAGGAAGTAACCTCCGATTCTAGCGATTGGGCTGGTGTGCGTATGGAGGTTCTGCTTGTTGATAGCAAGGGTTCTCGTTGGATATTAAGGTTGTTGTTGTATGTAGCATGCATTCTACATTATATTCAGCCCATGGCGAAGCGATGTACGATATAGCAGGCTATGCATAATATAACCAGTTAAGCAAGTAGTATGATATATCAAAAAGATTCCATTCCTAAATATTCACATCCAAAGACCAACCCTGGTATAGTAGTGATAGTAGTAAGTAGTAACGAATGACCGACCCAACCAACCAACCAACCATACATAACATCATCCTCTTTTTATGATAAAACAGAACACCAGACTCTCATGCTTATTGAACACCATCCAAAATATCAATCAAAACGATCTACCCTCCCATCCTTGCTTTTAAACTTTTAACCCATCACCTCTGCTATATCAAACAGACTGCTTGCTTCGCACACTCCCTATCATTGTCGAGGCGTCCGACATCCCTGCGGACGGGTAGTTGGCCACTACCTTTGCCCTCAGAGCAGCGCGAATTTCTTCGACCGAGCGGTCCTTCCACTCGGGGTATCCGGATGTGCTGAGAGGGTACAGGACGAAGTTGTCCTCGCGCGTGCCGAACTCGTCTAGCTTGGGCGGGGGCATGGCGGTGATGATATCAAGCTCGACGGCGAGCTGGCGGCAGTAAGTGTCGAGAGGAAGATCGTTGACGTCGTGACCGAAGGGGTTTTCGATTTCACTGCCGATGAAGGCGAGTCCGAGAATGATGTAGGCGGCAACTGTGATATTGTCAGATTAGTTGAATTCCATGGAGTGGAGGGGATACTCACCGACGGAAGCGGGGATGGTCACCCATTCGAGAAAGTCGTAGAGCTGGAAGGGCAGCACGAGGACGTAGATCCAAGCGATCTGAGCGATGGAGATGCTGTATGCGGCGGGAAGAGGAGTATCCAGGACGCGCTCGGTGCCGGTGAGGACTTCGTTCAGAGTAGATAGAGCGGTGACTGGGAAGTTAGCGATATATTTTGAAAGACATCGGGACGGGCACGTACTGGCTTGTCCTTGGTGGAGACTGATGTTGAGAGTATTGTTGGCGATGCACCGGTCGACATATGCGGAGAGATGGTTCAAGATCTCCAGAGGAAGATGGCCCAAGGGTTTCTTGGACCGCTTGATAAGCTTTCTCGGGTTGGATTCGGCAAAAGAAACGCCCAGGTATTCACCGACTGACTTCCAGGGCGTCTTTTTCGGGGGTTGAACGACTTGGCGGTCGTGGGCCTCTTTGGCAAATGTGTCGAGGTGTGCAACCAGGCCTGCTAGATCCTCGTAGCCAACATCGGGTTCGAATCGCAATTTATGTTTGAGGGAGACGGCGAACGCCAGAATGAGATTCATGGCAGTCCTACGTTTATTAGCAAAGTAGTAATATTCAAAAGCGTGAAGAGTCTTACAGTTTTGCTAGCAAGTCTTCCTTGCCCTCCTCTCCTGCGCGTTCTGCCGTGTTGACCCAAATAGTACGTGCAAGGTTGCGAGCCGTCTGATTGAGGAGCGCCCAGTACTTTCTTCCATCCGCCCATCTATGGAGATTAACAGCTGTCTATGTGCAGGTCAAGAATCAGACATACCTTTCATATGCCGTCGAACTGCGGAACGACAGCGCCAAACTGACCACGAAACCGGTAACTGTCAAAAGAATATCGTTGATGCCGACTAGTGAAGATTGGTCAGGGTTCAGTCACATCCTGCGAAAGAAAAACCTACTGTTGTGGACAAATCTGGAAATGAGGGTAATGACGGTGGCCCAAGCTGCAACAAAGGCAAGAGGTAAAATCATTTTCGGCATGATACTGCCATGCATTCGTAGGAAGATGGGCCATTTGGAGTGTCGATCGAGATCTCGCGGTCCGTGCTATACGTCTATTGTTAGTCCAAGTGGTCCCTCCAATATACCCTGATATTAACATACGAAATATCGATCGATTTCACTAGAGTTGCGTCTTCCTAGCATGAACTGTCTGTCTGTGGAACTGGCGAGGTTCTCCAGAAAAGAAGGACGAGGTGTCAAGCGTCCTCGTGGCTCTTTGGGTTCATTTGCCGGGACAATAGCGGGCACATCATGGTCCGCGGTGGGTGCCAGGTGGTTATCGTGGCTCGCTTCGTCGCCCATTTTGACCTGAAAATTAATCGGTGGGTTGGGATTCGAAGGGAGAGACTGATGGTGGTTTGGGTTAAAGAACAAAGAAGGGCCTGCCTTCGGGAACGAACGTGAATGATCAACCTGGGAATGGAGACAGGTGATAAATGAAGGTCGTAAGCAACGATTGAAAATTCCCGAGAAGTGAAGATCGATGAAGAGGACGGTGCGTCAGGAGTTCACTGATGGAAAATATCTACTAACTAATATCTAGTGCCAACATAAACTTATTAATCCCAGACCAACGACTGCCACGCATTGGTCATGGGGCAGCTCCATAAAACAAAGTTCAGAGCGTTGCTGCCATTGTGTAACTAACATACACTGGAATACACTCTAAATCATATGTCAGTATGGTATGCTGCGTGTACTGGTACCTGTACAGCCACTGGTGCTGCGTATGACTGCTGCTATTTTTTCTTCTTTTGGGTGTCCCCGCTGCAGAATTAGGATATACACGATACGGCGACCCCTGGTAGAGCCAATAGCGAGGGTCAACCGCCAGGAACGCTTGGCGATCCGCCCATTGGGAGCATCTGGCCAATAATGGATGCGGTCCAGACCCCCTGTTTCAGCAGTTTGGCCGCGCCACGCGGGCCAAAACGTCAGACGGCTGCTTCCGCCCCAGTTAATCCGCTGGTCTCATTCGTCTTTTTCTCGCGGCCAGGCCTTCGTGGCACCGCACGAGTCGATTTCTCTCCGTCTGGGCTTCGCTGCTGAAACAAAAGCGAACCCAGTCAAAGAATCAAATTTCCACCCTGCACTTTCAGGAGATATGAAAGGTCTTTGCTTTGAGTCCGCCATGGTCTGTCTCTGGAGATAGGTCATTTCTCTCACAGTCGAAGGTCCGATGGCCTCATCTGGATCAGACTTCCACTCCCCTCGGGGAAATATCAAGACAGCACCGTCTGCGGCAGGATCGCGATCCGAGTCTTACTCCAGTGTATGCCTCGCTGCAGGAACGGCGTATTCCGTGCAATTAACCCGATACCCCTGTCGTCTTCCGCGCGGAGACACCGCATCGCCTCACGGATCGAAGATCGAAGAATTTCTGATAATCAGTCAATCTATCAACTACACGCTACTGACTCCTCATGTGCTATTTCAGGGGTTGTATTTCCCCGAACATTAACCACGAACGCTTCAGGGTCCGATCAAAAGGGGTTCTATGGCTTGCACAAGTTGTTATGCCACAGCCGAGGCTACTTGCCAAGCCAACTTCCACTAAGCCTAGACAAATGACACCGACATTAGCGAGTCTTGACTGCTCGTATTCGAGTTTCGTTACCATCTTGCAGGAGCGCAACCTAAATTGGCCGAACCTAACCATGAATCGCAATGATTGATAAGCGGAGGTGTAAAGTGCCGTGTCACGCTCTGACAGTGACTATTCCTGCAGCTAACTTCTTCAATGTTTCATCATCTGCCCGCTCAGTCAATTGATCAAGACTAAGCGTGAAGACCAAAGCATCATGATGACCTGTGCCTCGATCACGGTCCACCAACTTTCTACAAATTGTCAGCTACAAATGGCCCAAACAAAACATCTAATCCCCATCTTATTCTTCTGACCCAATACCGTGTAGTAAAATTGTAATCTTGAAAACAAAACCATGAATAGACGCAACCACATCCATCCAACAATTCCGCCACCATTTAACCAAGACTCACTCACAACCGAACCAGCTATATTTACTCCATAACCAGTCCGGACTCCAAATCTATAGATAGCATCACTTGCGTCTTTCTTTCCAATACCCTAGTATAGTACATCGTGTTAAGAATTCTACATCTACATCTAACAACCGTATCTATTTTTGGTACCGAGCGGGAGGAGGTGGGGGAGCATTAGTTAGTCGGGAAATCGAATTTCTTCGGTTCTTCCGTTGTGACATCTCTCCATCTAGTCTACCCGGTGGAAAACAATAGAGCCGTTAATGGGGCTGTGCTTGCACAAGATGTGTAGTGTGGCGTGTTGAAGAGATTTCGTGGATTAAGTATTCGAATTGAGGGCTCTATCGTGGTTTATTTTTTACTGTTGTGTATTTCGTTTGTTTGGCTTGAGATGGATGTAGTCATTTGGTCAAGTTTTGTGAGGAATAGACCAGGATGTATTCTTTAGATTTTTATATTTATGTCCGGAGTTACTACGTTCAAGTCAGATGGGAGCAAATTAGTATAGAATGTAGGAAGAATAGTGATGATGTATGTCTTGGATTATTATTATAGTAACAGTAATGCATACTGAAGACAATCTTTTAACAAGCGGTAGCTAGTATCATCATAACAATAACTAGACGGACCATTTAGAGCATTATTTCGCTTCGCTTCCACTATTACCTGATTATTTTGGGAAATATTTCTTAGATTCCATATATAGGAAGAGCTTTTTCATTATAATAGAGTATATATCTTCCAATGTTCTTATAGTCTCTTCTATAGTATCTTTACCATTGTTCATTCAGCAGAACATACTACCTTTTACAGCAACCAGGATAATGACAACCATCACATACGTTAATGAAAATAAGATAATTACCGGCCTCCACTATTTCCATCGAATATTTTTGATCATATATTACTAAAAGAGTATAACCAAACGGTGGATTTGCAGTCTACTTATAGGGTCGTGCGGATTTAACTACTTGTAGTAATGCATTGTCTGAGTCGCGCAATACGACTTCAACCCATTCAATCCCCACTCGCCTCCAATTCCACTTTCCTTGCAACCGGCCAGATAACCCTGAGGATGAGGTTTCGCAAAGCTATTCAGCCAGACACTTCCAGATTGGATCTTTGGCGCAAGCCTCTTGCTTGCCTCCACATCCTTGGCCCAGATTGAGCATCCAAGTCCAGTCTTGGTGTCGTTGACTCTTGAGATGAGCTCTGATTCGTTACTCCATGAGAGGAGAGGCACGATAGTGCCTGTGTGATTCAAGTAGATTAATATGTATTGTTTTTGAAGGTTTAGGCTCACGTACCGAAAGGTTCTTCCGTGACGACTCTTGATCCATCAGGTGGGCGGTCCACGATGGTAGGATGGAAGATATACCCTGGGCCGGTGCTGGGGCCGCCCTCTAAAGCAAATTTGTATCCGTTTGCTTTGCAGTCTTCGAATACGCCATTGACGACATTGAACTGCATTTCATTTTGAACGGGCCCTAGCATGACATCCTCGTCCACAGGTCCTACTTTCCATGTCTTCACGACATTGACCAAGGCATCTCGGAATTCATTGTAGATTTTGTCATGAACATAGAGACGCTTGCTGCCGAGGCAGAACTGTCCACTGTTGAAGAAAGCACCCAAGGCGACTTGCTGGGCTACGGCTTGAATGTCTACATCTGGGAAGATGATAGCCGGGTCGTTACCGCCCAGTTCAAGGGTGCATTCTTTCAATGTGTTGCTTGTTGCGGCCAGAATGTGCTTGCCTGCTCTGGTTGATCCCGTGAAACTGATTTTATTGATGTCCGGGTGCAGGGTCATTTCTGGCCCGTTCGTGTCATCGCCGTTAATGGCTTGGAATACACCCCGGGGTAGAATCGGGATGGCTAATTCGGCTACCTTGAGGATACTGTAGGGGGTGTAGGGGGATGGTTTGACGATCACGGTATTTCCTGCGGCGAGGGCTGCGGCAACTTTGGCCAAGGCAAGAACTAATGGGAAGTTCCAGGGGACAATAGCTCCGATAACTCCGAGGGGCAGGTAATTTCAGGGTTAGCTTGAGTGAGGCGTCTTCATGAATAACCTCTTCGGATGGAAGTTTGACATTCGCTATGAAGGACAGATTAACTAATGGTCTATGTAGGCGTAAGGGTTCAACGTACCGAAGTAATCCAGAAAGCCACATGCGTGGTCTACTTCGAGAGTCGCTTGCATTCTCTGGTATGGGGTGAGTACTGACCTACTGTCTCAGGAGGTAATCTTACTGGTTTGCCTGCTTCTTTCATAAGCAACTCAGCCACATCTTCTTTACTCGACAGAAGAGAATTTCTTAATTGAGCAATGGCAGCTTGACGATCAGACCCTGATACGGCTGACCAGGAGGTAAACGCCTTCTGCGCAGAGGTGATAGCATCTTGGAGATCATCCCTCGATGCAATGGGAACATCCCAAAGCTTCTGGCAGTTTGATGGATTGATGCCCTGGTGTACTCGTGAAGAGTCTCTAGTTTTGCCATCAATGACATTTGCGAAAGTGCTGAAAAGATATCGTGCTCTTGCAGGCGAACATAATAGTCGGTTCTTAGCTATGCTACGCTGCGCGGGGGAGTATAGAGGTCGAACCATGATGAGTGAGGCTGTTGGACTGAACAGGAGAAATATTTTGAGCCACTGAATCCGACAGCGTAATTGACTGTCGTTGCTCGCCCTTCTAGCACCACACGTACTAATATGCGAATCTTTAAGCCGAGGTCAATTTCATTGTAAGTAAGGGATGTCATGATGTGTTCGGGATTGCACCTGTCTTAACAGCCGGCTTAGTCACCACATTCTTGCTTTCATCTATATCCGGCCAATATGCATGCCAAGATACCCCGGTCACATTGATGTATCGATTTCGAGTTAGAATAGAGCAAGTGTTGTTGCTGATCGCCCACCGTAGCAATTGACTGGTGAGTGAGCCTATGAAATCCCGTAAATCGGTAATTCCGTATATCCGGATCCACAGAAGGTCCATCCTCACCAAGCTAGCTTAACATATCATATTTGTATGTTATTTCTTTTATTCTCTATTTCAACTATGCCAGACTGCATGCTAACTACCTAGCTTGATAGCTATTTTGGCAGCTCCATTTAATGATCTCTCTATTACTTAGATACAGGCGGTTCATCATCACATAGATGTCTACGAATATCGCGATGCTATTTCCAGGCTATGCACCAAAGTATTCTTACCCTTTTACGGATATAAACATAGCGGTTCATAATATAAAAGGGAAAATAACTTCGTAGAAATCTTCCATATGAGTAAGAACTATATTCTCTAAATTCCCTTAAATATATCTACTAGTAGTATAATCTGGCAAAAGAATATATATACTACTATGGAAGATCTATTCTTCATTATAATCACCCACAAGGTTGAGGGTTCGAGATTAGTTCAAACCCATTATACTTAATCATAAACATAGAAAAACGCACGACCAGACATCCCTTCAATACCAGTCATCTGAACACCTGGAGTGCCCTATGTTCGAGACTTTAGCGACTTGGATTTAAGTACGCCTGGTACTCTATCACCAAAAGTCTGTGAATCCTCCAAACGGACTAATATATATCCACAGGCTTGGTTATGATCTTGCTTCAGTAATAAAATCAACTAGTAGTCAGACCACAAATCAGCTAGATAAAGGTAAAGCCTTTGATGCCTCCATCCGAGCAATCGCTATAAAGCCATCTGACTGACCCGTTAACTCAATTACCTTCAGCAAAGGTTGAAAGTACCTAGTCCTCCGTAACATTCCATAGAAGCTCTAGCCATCAATCGCAAAATACAACATAAGTATTGACCTATGGTATGAATGAATGCCCTCTGAATTCACTCCATGACTGATTTACTTAGTCGAGTGGAGTTATACACAATTCGTAAATGCCATGTACCGATGAGTGAAGCTAGTAGAGATTATATGTAGTTTTAGTTGCGCAAACTTGTCGAGTCTTCATGCATCATATCTTGTTAGTGTGAGGACTGTTGCTAACATAACTGCGTGTGATATGGCGTGGTGCTCATTGGCGTTTCTGTTCGAGGTGCAATTGGGGATAACGTATTAGAGTAATGAAAAGCTTAGCTACTACAGAGAGGATGATAATTATGATGAGAGGGAGATAAGAAAATGACCAAAGATGTTCGGGCAATGCTACGAACAAGAGAATCATTAGAGAAGTAAATATTGTCCAGGATGTTAGGCCAAATCAGGGCAATGCCAAAGTACTATAACAGCAGTCGCCCTCAAATGAAATAGTAAGCCACAATTCCACAACCAAAAACCATCCAGTCCTCCAGGCAGACAACATTCCTTCCCCCAAACAGTCCAAACAGCCCAAACATAATGAAAAGACCCAGTCCCCTCCCTCGGCAAACATCCGTCATACCAAGAGCTATAATGTCCCACCTAATACCCAAAAAGACACCTCATCACCGAATCTAAGCTAGATATATACTCACAGACATCTCCGACAGTGACTGAGATGAGCTGATATGTCGATCCAACTCCACATAATTCCAGCCCAAATCTCAAGCTCAGGACTTAGGAAAACTTCTCCTGGCTTGGTATCGACAGCTCGAGCTCCAGCTCCAGCTTCTAACTCGGCAGTTCTGTAATATCACATGCTTTATTGGTGTGTTTCAGCCTATATGGAGGTTTGTGCTGGTCTGTGTAGGTGAGTTTTAACTGCTGTTGAAGATCGCAGGATGAGGGGCTGTTTCGTGGGTGGCTACATTATCCGTTTGTGGAGAGGAGATGGTTGGGGATAGGAACCAAGGAAGTTAGAGGGGTTTTCTGAATGATCTGGTGGGGGTGAGGGAGATGGGAATGTGATTATGAGGCATTAGGTGAGTTTGGGGAAGCTATCTACTTGGGAGTCAGTGCTTGTTGATCCGTGAATCATGATTTTTTTGCTGCTTAGAGCATCATGGTTCAGTCCATATTCATGGCTTATAGCAGAGAGTGCAGTGGCCATGCTGAAGAGAGATAAGTGTATAACCAAGGAGCTAGATGACGACCAGATGACCAGAGTAAAAACCACGGCACCACGATCAATAGCTCTGCTTTTACCCTACAACTCAGCAAGCCACGTCACACCAGATCCGCACATCAGCCTGCCACGAATTGGCAGGGTGAATAGTCTCCGTCGATCGATATCAAACCGGCCACACGTGGCCATAGGCAGAGTTCAAATAAGCAAGCATACATTATCTAGAAGAAGTAAGTGTTAGTAGTATCAGACACTATATACGACGGCGCTCCTTGGTGAAATAAACAGGGTCTTGACATCTTGGCAGGGCACAGGCTATATGTCCCCCATTGTCCCGATAAGGTTCGGATCCGAAAACGGGATACCGTTGAGGATCCGACCCAATTTTGAGAACCGCTCCTTCAAGAACCGGATTAGGCAAGAGTACATAATCTACCCCTCGTTCGGAATATCGGGATCTACTGACAAAGCTGTCAGTGTTAAGAGTAGGTTCAATGTGGCGAGAGTGACTGTAAAGGCTTATATTTGGTGTCTCAGAGAGTTTTGTTGAAGTTTGTATAGAGAAGAACACCAGGATCGAGGGGGGGGTTGCTCTCGGTTGGAAGGAGGAACTTAGAAATTCATAGCAGATGGCTGGGCAGGATATTGCAGATTGCAAATTGCCGGATGTCTGGTCGGTCGCGGAAGACGGCCGGATGGATCTGTAACAATATCTTGATCTCCGTTCTCTGCATCCATCATGTTGGAAAAGCTTGTCCGAAGCAGCCAAGTCAACAGTTCTGTTGTTTCGTCCCGTCTCATCTCGTTCATGGCAAAGTGCTAGGTTTCGAAGGGGTTTGGGATTATTTACAGACTCTATGATTTGTTTAGGAGTGAGTCTACTGTGTAGGTCTGCAGCTGAAACAACAGGGTGCTTCATGAATAGTGGGCCATTTTGAGTATCTGAATCATGTCAGTAGCTGCGTCGCTGGCGAAGTAAGCCCGCAAGACCCATTTTCGAACCTGGGGATAGATGCGCGGACCCCATCTTTCAACTCAGGAGTCATGAGGCAGCAGCCATTGAAAGACGTAAACGCAGCTATCAGTTCTGTTCCCCGGAATGTATGGTCAAAGCGAGCCACGATGCGCGCAATTTGTTTTCAACTACATTCAGGCGACCGCAAGGATCTTCAGGTTGAACCAGACAATTCGAGCCCGGCGGCGATCAACGCTGGACAGCCGGCACCATTCGCGTTAAAGTTTGCGGCTAGTCCTATTTATGGGGCTGGGAACCACCTTAACTGCCGCCCAAACGGCGAGCGACAGAACGTGGGCAAAGGAATGCATAGAAGCATATCTGCGGGTTAGACAAGGGTCTAGAAGAAAATTCTGGGACAGAGGGGGAGAATATTAAAGATGTTCATGGATATTGAAGTTAGTTGCTTCCTGCGAGTTATTCCCGAGATATCGAGGTTGAACCATGGACAGGAACACCCAGTGTTGCCTAGATTCGTGCCCAAGGAATCTCGTCGATCCTATCATTTTCAGGAAAACCGGGTCCGCTCTGGAACGTGATGACAAAAGTATTGACTCCATCACGAACGGGGGTTCTTGAGGACTACCCATGGCTGGTAAGGATCATCACCACCAGCTCGCCCTGGTGTTGAGCTTTTTGGAATTCCGGTCCCGTTACGGGAAGATCACCCAGGAAAAGCTACCTTGGCGAGTACCTTCAGCTGGGAGATTATCACGGACTATTGGTCGCAGTCAATCCTTCTCTGATCGATTACTTAATTAGAGAAACCAAGAAAATTCAGTCTCACTGGGACAGGCAAGGGGTAAAAAGAGATAGAGGAAAATAGAGTCTTCGCTATAAGCAGTTGATAATGGACGAGGCAAATCGGCAGTTCGTTGTTTGCCCGAAATGGATCACCGGTTAGAGTTCCGATCAGTTGTTCTCCGAGGAGCACAGCGGCAATCCGAGCAGTATTGGCCGATATAGGCTGGATCGATGAAGACTTCAGAGTGATGACATCAATCACTAAGGAACTTGGATGATCATCGCACAATGGTCTATTCAGGAGTAGCCAGGACCGTGCAGGTACTAACTCGGGCTGTTGCTGCCCACTTGCACGCACAGAGCAGACACCGATATGGGGACATGGGAGACAATAGTGGTTTGGAGTCTTGGAGGTTGAATAGTGTGATTTATCTTAAGAATTTCACAGAATTTTCTGGGTGTGAATTAATTTTTTTTTTCTTTATCGAATTCCCACCGTATCTCGCATCATTACCCAATTGGGCCCGCCTATGACTCGTGGGCCATGCACAGTGCAGCCCTTCCCCATGTCATGCAGGACATCTCCAACATGGTGATGGTGGTGATGCACATGCAAGGGGCGCATACAGTAAGTATATCGTGATCGGGCGAATATCGCCATAGTAAAGAGTTTCCATAGGGCTGGTACCACCAAGAAAATTCAGGGTGCACAACAAGCCACCACGGCAATTCAATGCTTGCTGAGGGGATTTCCAATGATGGTTCAGCCATCCGGGCCGAATATGAGGGGAAGACTTTATGAAGATTTGGTAATATTTGGGAGGGAAAATGCGTGCGGGGCAATCTGGCGCTCATCCGAAAACGGAAAGGCCCTCGCGCCAGTTCTTTGCTGGGAGTCCACTAAGTACGGAGTACAGTAGCATTGTTTTCTTTAGCTCGTTTGAACTAAGCACCAGAAGGGACTGGTGTGCCGCAAGTAAGTGGGATTCCGGTGGAGTCACCGCTGCTGGTCGTGGTCTTTCCTCATTCAGCCTGACTGACTCCTGCTCCTCCTACTCTTTCTTACTCTTTTTTACTCTCCGCTCGTGCTCATCAGCCCAGCTCAATGGGCCTCCCCTTCGAAGCTCGACGCTAACCTTGCCATCCCTGTAATTAGATTGTGGAACTCGCATCCTTTGCTCCAATTGATTTTCTCTCACTTCCGCTGTCTGAAGGACCAGATTTCTCTCCATGGGATTCTCAGTGGCCTCGGCTGGAGGCTTCTTCCCCCCCATTACCGGGATACCACCTCATCTTTTTCCTCCCTAAAGTCAGAACCTAACTTTGCACATCCTTTGCCCCGATGGAGTGACTGCTGTACCAGGAGTCCCCCCTGCCCGCAAATTTCAGACGAGCTAACTGGTTTGACTTTCTGGTCCGGGTCCAATTTAGATCCCTAATCCCAATTGACATTTCCGCCAGCAAGCCCATACGAATGGCTCAAAATGCTCAGATCGCCCCCCTGGCATGTGGAGAAGACCGTGAACGACGGGTCGATGGATCTGCCTATCATTGTCCTGTGCTGGCTTGGTACTCCGGTAATTCTCGGTTCTGCGACTCCTGCTTGCCATCGGTTGGATAAAATGACCTGCGGTGGAGGTCCACTTCCAGTCTCATTGGAGGAGTTGACTTCCCGCTTGGCCGGGATATTTGATCTGAAATTGAACAATTCCATTAAACTCAAAATGACACACAGAAGTAAACTCCCTAGTCTATGGTTAGCGAAGGGACCATTTATGTCGCAACTTGTCTAGGCCAGGGGTGGATACTCGCCGTCGTGGTATATCATCTCTCTAGTTCCCCTCCTCACTCGTGCTGTCAACATCACTGGCCCTCGTGTATCATCAGTCGGCCACGGCTGACTACCTTCGCTTTTGACAACACTCCAGACTGATCTTGACTGTGATGATGGCTTATGCGACTCTCGACTGCTCGACTGGGGGTTGCTGATGGTTGACCACATTTCGACATTTGCGACAACAAAACGGCACTATACAACAGTGCCACCAATTTTCAACATCTTACACCTTATTACCCTCGCTCCTACCAGGCTAAATCACCAACATGCAACTACCCCCGGCCGAGGTTCTGGCCACATGGCCCACACCTAACTACGTCGACCCAGTGACCCGCGGGCCGGCCGTGAATATCGTGAATACCGTCCTTCTTTCCATCGCATTCATCGTGACTGTTCTCCGTCTTTACACACGTTTCAAGATAACGTGCACACCTGGTCTCGATGACTTTTTCATCGTCATCGCTTTTGTACGTCCAAAATGCCTATATGATGGGTTACCGGTCTAATAAACAATACCTAGGCTATTGCAGTGGGCATGTGTGCGTGTACATCTCTGGCGACTGAGCGCTGGGGTGCGAACCGACATGTCTGGGATGTGCCCTTGTCCTGGCTACCCGTCGTTACCAAATACAACCTCGGATTTCAGATTACATTTTCCCTCTCCTGTTCAATCACCAAGCTTTCGGTTCTGTGGTTTTGCAAGCGCCTCATCGGAACGGGGAGCAAGGGACTGTACCGAATCTACAACATTGTCGTGATCGTCTCCTTCATCTTTGTGGCCTTGTGCTGCATTGTCTTTTTGCTAGTCAGCATCTTTCAGTGCTCGTGAGTCCCCTGTTCCTCGACTCACTGCATTGCATTGACTTACCTTGACATAATACAGGCCGATCCATGCTTTTTGGGACTTGGAGCCGATGTATCCTCATCATTGCGTCAATTATGGCGCAGCAGTATTCTCTGCGAGCGTTGTCAACATCTTCACCGATTTTCTCTGCACTCTGGTCCCGATGCCATTGATCTGGAACCTGAAGCTGCCTGCCCGGCAGCGGATGGCCGTGATTTCGATCTTCGGTCTGGGTATCTTTGTCAACGTGGCGGGTACGGTGCGCACCGTCTATGTCTGGAAGAGTATGATGGCCTCCTATGACACTACCTGGATGGGATGGCCTATTCTGGTCGCCGGATCGGTAGAAATCAACTTGGCCTTGGTATGATGACCCTCTCAAAATGTGCGCGTATCACGGCTAACTCTGTATTAGATCTGTGCATCTGCACCTGCATTGAGACCTCTTATCGGATTTGTCTTGCCCCACCTTCTGCCGTCCGCCCGTGGCTACGGATCCTCATTCGGCAACCGGGAGTTGAAGGGATGGTCTTCCACTGGACCATCCAAGCAGTCCCGCGCTTCCAAAATGATAGAAGATCGCCAGTATGGTTACCAGGGCGATACCACGGTGGATCGTATGGAGGTCTTGCGCACTGTTGAGATGGAGACATGGACCGAGAATCGGCGACCCAGCCATAGCAACAACTCTCAGGTCATGTCGAATCACACGCGCGTTGCAACCCCGACGCACCACGTCGATCTGAAGAATAATGGTGTGGTATATACGTCGCCTGGAAGCGACGTCTCCTCCACCTCACTCACCCGTGACTCCAAGGAGCAACACACATTTTACGAAAACAGGAACCCGGTCTAGGGTGTCACGCTCTCTATATTTTCCTTTTCTATTCTTCCATTCCCCTTAATGCAACAAGGGGGAGTCATCTGGTTATGAATTGAGTTATGAACATGTATAACTTACTATCTATGTATACTCTTTTGAGGCTGGAGTCATGTACCTATAGTATACCAAACACACATCACGAACATGAATATACCACACACAATACCATTATACCACCACCACGCGACCGTCTCTGGCGAGTATCTTAGCCCATCCGATATTAAGTGTCAACCAATCCCTTCCGTAAACGGAGTGGGTCTCCGGCTCCACTGCAATTACTTTTTAGGTCATGACTCCACTCATCCATGCCTCGCATGCGCCTAACTCCGATGCCAGTATGGCCTGATCCGATCCTATACAGTACCCCATCCAGTCCTGCTTCTCCTGCCTCTTCCGATTCCATCCATGGATCATAGTCACTTAACAGACAGTATTATTACTACCTCCCTGCAGGGATCCCCCAGTGCAGCACAGGTCAGGCCTACCGAAATGAGAGCCCATGTCCTCTCCGTCGGAGGGATGCAGTGCGTTGATTATTGATTTATTCATCTGATAAGTTGTTTGATTTTTGACATCGGCCACTCCGTAGATTGACGTGTGTTGTAAATTAGACTTTATTTAAATAAACTACGGCCCGTCTTGCTGCATCTAACGCAGGTACGGATGGGTGTAATTAAGATCTGACAATGGTTTTGGGGGGTAGTCTAGGGTTGGGGTGGTTTATTTTGCTGCGTGGGTTGTTGGAGGATAATTGTTTTCTTTTTTTTTGTGGTACCTTTGGGGGTTGTATAGCGATGGTGGGATGGTGGGATTGTGGGATGGTGTAGGTAGTTATTTATTTCTCTTCTAAATGTTAGTCATGTGTCATGTTCCGTGGGAAAAGAAGAAATGTGTCAAAGTGTACGGAGTCGTTTTTATGGTGGAAGAGGGACACATCGTTTTTTACTTGGTGTACTCACTCACTTCCATTTACTACTTTGTAATATCGCCCACAGCAGGGGAGTACGCTAGACTCCCGTCCTGTTTGGATAATCGGAGTATGGTGTACACAGGCACAGTACACTAGACAATGACAAATGGTCTAGACTACTACTACTACTACTAGTACTACTACTACTACTACTACTACTACTACTACTATCATGAATATGATTGGATAATCATCTCCTCAGCTAATCTTGCATCGGAGATTAAAGCTGGACGGGGGGGTCCGTGTGTGCATATGTATCTAGTAAGTAGATCGTGGTATTTGAGATTTGGGATTTTACTTGGGGGGCTTCTTGGGTATATTATGGTGTGCTATACCCCGCTTTTTCAGCTTTGGTGTTGGTGTCGGGGTTGGTGTTGGGGTTGAGAGGATGAGAGGATGAGAGGATGTCTTAGCTGGCTTTGAGGGCGACAAATTAGGTTAACTGAGGGTTGTGGAGAGATGATCGTGATGATGGGCTTACTACTGTAGGTAGGTAAGTTGTGTTCAGTATTAAAAGGTGGTATTAGGAATTGTGATTCTGTGTGTGTGTTGACTTATGTGCCGGTTTTGGCTCTTTGCTTTTCTTTTCTTAGCCTTGTTAGTGTTGGTTGGTGCTATGTTAGTGGGAGGTTAATTAGGGTGATTTCATTTGGCTTTGCTTCAATTGATTCGCTTGTGTTGGTCGCTTGCTTTGGCTTGTTGATTTTGATTCCGATGTCTTTTATAGGTGGCAGTAATATCTCTTTTGATATTGGGTTGCTGCAATTGATACTTGAGTATGTGCAGCATTTTATCTGGTAGATTGTAAGTGGATGGGTATGTTCTGGTTCTAATCGATTTGAAGTTAGGGAAGACGCTAGTACTGTCTTTGACATGTGATTATTGTGGTATGTATGGATTCTAGAAGGCTTTATTGTTAGTAACCTGGAGTTCTGGTCTAATTGGCTATGATATTTATGTTTTTAGTTATGTTTGACTTGGATTATCGCATGCTGTATTGCTTTGTTTGTCGCTAGATGTTAGACATTAGACTAGGTTGTTATTTTCCTTGGTCTGCTGGGGTATGCTCCTCTTTTTATAAGATTCACAAGACAGCCCTAGTAGTATACGTGTACTGCTAATAAGTAGTACTCTCATGACGCCTCTCCACTGAAGATGATCGTTGATTCAAATGTCAACCCGCGGGGTCCCTATACTAGTAGGACTGCAGTAGTAGTAAAATATATTTCAAGTAGCATCATGATTGCCTTCATTGAGTTGAACTTAGCTATCGCAAAAACAATCTACCTATCTTCCTTTCAGCTACAAAGGAAGTGAGGAATTGTAAATTTATACCTTACCTAACCAAATCCTGCTTCTCCTTAGCTGAATGCTAAACTGGCATCACTGGAATGGCGGTGATGCATCGGAGTTCGCAGCGAGCGATGGAGTGCTTATCGGCCACCCCTGCCACTGATAAGCGATGCAGATCCGATATGATCTCACCCCATTAGGCAGTCACTTCCTATGCTCATTGCCACTTACCGTCATCGGCAGTCGGCGGAAGAGGCAAGCAGATTGACTCAATAAAGACATCTCCATCTGAATGATTGGATTATGGAATTACTATTATCATTAGGAATTATCATGTTGAACGGCGGCTCTCCGGATGGGTTGAGAAGTCGCCGAGCACGGGGGAAGTACGGCTGCTGATTGGTGCAAAACGCCGAAGCAGCTGTACGGCGCGGGGCAGCTTCCAATCCATCGCGAGCTCTCCCTTCAATAGCTGACCCCCCTCGCTCCATATTTAACCCTTCACGCTGCCATTTTTCTCGTGATTTATCTTCTCCCTCCAAAGTCATCTCAATTGCACCAGTCTAAAGCTATAAACGGTGCTGGTTTGCTGCTTGTCTGGTTGAGCATCGACCGAGGAGCTCCTTATCAATCATCATTGCGTTATCGTCATCGTATCCTTCCCCACATCCCTGTTTTCCAGCTGGGTATTTCTGTGCCCCTGGCCCCTCAACTCATTCCTCCTTTTCAAACCCATCTCCTCTCACTTAATTCATTACAATGGCTGCCATCTTCCGCTCCAGCTTGAGGCTCCGCCCGACGACGCGCCTGTCGGCCGTCCGCACTCTCACCACTACTCCGCACATGCGCGCTGCGGAGAAGCCTTATTTCCCCGATGAGCCTTCTGCTCCCAAGCTGGCCACGACCATTCCTGGCCCCAACAACAAGGCTGCTGCTGAGAAGCTCGACAAGGTCTTCGATGTGCGCAGCTTGAACATGCTCACTGATTACTACAAGTCCAACGGTAACTAGTAAGTTAACCTGCATTTATCTCACCCCTTGCGGGCAAGACCACCGAACGAGCACTAACTTTGACACAGCATCGCCGATCTGGACGGAAACGTGCTTCTCGATGTGTAAGCTACTCATCCTATGATGATCCTTGCGACAATGTGCTTGTATGTTTCTAACATATATCGTCTTCAGCTATGCTCAGATTGCCTCCATCCCCGTGGGCTACAACAACCCCCACCTCCGCAAGGTAGCCGAGTCCCCCGAGATGGTCAATGCTTTGATCAACAGACCGGCTCTGGGTAACTTTCCCTCTCACGACTGGGCTGACATCCTGGACACTGGTATCCTCAAGGCTGCCCCCAAGGGCCTTAACCAGGTGTTTACCGCCCTGGCCGGCTCGGATGCCAACGAGACTGCCTACAAGGCCGCCTTTATGTACTACCGTCAGCGCGAGCGTGGTAGCGCTGAGACCGAGTTCACCGAGGAGGAGCTGGAGTCTACCATGAAGAACCAGTCCCCTGGTTCTCCTCAGCTGTCCATCATGTCCTTCAAGTCGGCCTTCCACGGTCGTCTGTTCGGCAGTCTGTCTACAACCCGCAGCAAGCCCATCCACAAGCTGGACATCCCCGCCTTTGACTGGCCCCAGGCTCCCTTCCCCTCTCTGAAGTACCCCTTGGAGGAGCACGCTCAGGAGAACGCCCAGGAGGAGCAGCGCTGCCTGCAGGAGACTGAGCGTCTCATCAAGGAGTGGCACAACCCCGTCGCCGCTGTTGTCGTCGAGCCCATCCAGTCGGAGGGTGGTGACAACCACGCCTCCCCTGCCTTCTTCCGTGGCCTGCGTGAGATCACCAAGCGCAACAACGTCCTCTTCATTGTTGATGAGGTGCAGACTGGTGTGGGTGCCACCGGCAAGTTCTGGGCCCACGACCACTGGAACCTGGAGACTCCCCCCGACATGGTGACCTTCTCCAAGAAGGCCCAAACCGCCGGTTACTACTACGGCAACCCGGCCCTGCGTCCCAACAAGCCTTACCGTCAGTTCAACACCTGGATGGGTGACCCGGCCCGTGCTCTGATCTTCCGTGGTATCATCGAGGAGATTGAGCGCCTGAACCTGGTGGAGAACACTGCTGCCACCGGTGACTACCTCTTCTCCGGCCTGGAGCGTCTCGCCAAGCAGTACCCCGAGCACCTGCAGAACCTGCGTGGTAAGGGCCAGGGAACCTTCATTGCTTGGGACACGCCCAAGCGTGACGAGTTCCTGGTCAAGGCCAAGGGCGTTGGTGTCAACATTGGTGGCAGCGGCCAGAGCGCCGTCCGCCTGAGGCCCATGCTGGTCTTCCAGAAGCACCATGGTAAGTCTGCTTTAGATACGGGATGAGAGAAAAAGATGCTAACATGTTGCAGCTGATATCCTCCTGGAGAGCGTTGAGAAGATCGTTAAGCAGTTGTAAGCAGCTGCACGGTCGATTTGATTTAACTCTAGTTTATGAGTAATGGCGTTTAGCGGAACTTGGGATGGGGACATTTCTTTTCATGATATCTTTAGCCGATATTTATAAGGCAATTTGTGCTACGATTTATGGCAATGGTACTAGTCTAGTCATTAAGCAACAAAGTGATGCCGCCAAGGCAGCGTTGATCTTGATCTTGATCTATTGTCCGGGTATCCAGTAGACATCCCCCTTTGTAAATTATAAACAGTGCGCAGAATTAAACCAACCCGACAAACCCCGTACCGTACATGATCGAAAGAGAAAACTGTAATACCGAAACTCCAATCGTGCAAATCGAAGAAGGAAGGCCAAACCATCCCCCTTTTTTTGAAAAAAATATCGCTATGCCGTGCAAGATAGAGAACCGACATATGGCGCAAACGAACGGAAGCAGCGAAGAAAAAACATCCGAGCAGACAGCGATCGATCGATCACGCCTCCTCTTCACCCGTGCTACCGTCCCTCCTGTATCAAGACACAGTGTAATCAGCATCCATCAATTACTACCCCACATAAAACCAAAGACAAGGGCAGGGAATAAAACATACGGAATATACTTAACACCCGAATCCTCCAAACTGGAAATAATCTCGTCGGGAAGCTGTTCACCCACCACTATTAGCCCAATATCCTCTTCCACCACCACCACCACCACAACCAGAATAATCTGGGTGTATACTCACCGACCCCGTAACCTTAACCGCATACGTCCCGGGAACATAACTGTCCAATCTCTGCCACCTAGCCACCCAGCTGGTCGTGGGATCGCGGAGCGTCACTAGGCCCTCGAAGACCTGCGACGTGCATTCTTGGATCGCGTCGTTGTTGCCCCGGAGGCCGAGGACGTTGTCGCAGTTGGGACAGCCTTCGCGCATGAATTTCTATTCCATTGAAAACAGATATGTTAATTGAGTTTTTCTTTTGGGCGGAGGTAGGTAGGTAGGTAGCAGCTGGGGCAGCTGGACGTACGCTGTGCAGTTGGACGAGCGAGCACACCATGCAGGCGCGGAGAGTGCGCTGCTGACTGGGGGCGACGTAGAAGGACATCTTTCTTTTTTCGGCCCTTCTCTTATTTTCTAGAGTAAGAATTGGCGAGTCAATAGAACGGTAGGAGAGGTTGTGTAGGGATTGTAGGTAAGATGCATGCGGCAAGAACAAGAGACACACCAAGAGGGTTCTGGAATCGGAGGGTCGGCGCCAAGACCACCCAGCCCGGAGAAAAGTGACGGAAGGGAAAGCAAATCAATCAATCAATCAATCAATCAATCCCATCATCGACCCGAGTTTAAAAGCGCTGGAAGTTGAATCCAGGAACGGGTGAGCCCGAGGAAAAAGTTTCAGGAACTTTTTTACTTTTTTATATTTTCTTCTTTTTCGCCTTTCTCTATTCATTTTCATATTTCTACTTTCATTTGTCTTGATTTTCCCATATTGAACCATTCCATATTTAACTGCGAAAGGATCTCGTGCTCTCTTGCCCCGAAATCCACCTCCCCCCCTCCCCTCCTTTCGTTAAACGCTTCACTGTTGCGCCGCCCGACGCCCCCCCCCCCCCATGGCTTCCTCCGATCTCGAGGCCGCCACTGCCCTTAAGGTGCAGGGGAATAAGGCCTTCGCTGAACATGAGTGGCCTACTGCTATAGATTTCTACACGAGAGCCATTGAGAAGTATGATAAGGAGCCGTCGTTCTTTAGTAACCGTGCTCAGGTAGGTGGCGCTACGAGACAACCCAGTGTTGGAGGTGGAGGTCTGTGTTGAGATACTGACTGGTTCTGGGGTTCTTGGTTAGGCACATATCAAGCTCGAGGCGTATGGCTTTGCGATCGCTGATGCCTCCAAGGCACTGGAGCTTGACTCCAACTATGTCAAGGTTCGTTGGATGCTGCTGCTGCTGCTGCTGCTTGTTGGTGTTGTTCGCCTCTCTGACTTATTCACCCTACCGTTTATAGGCCTACTGGCGCCGAGCCCTTGCGAACTCCGCTATTCTGCACTACAAGGAAGCCCTGAAAGACTTCAAGGCCGTGATCAAGAGAGAGCCCAATAATCGCGACGCCAAGCTAAAGCTTACTGAGTGCGAGAAGCTCGTTCGTCGGCTCGAGTTCGAAAAGGCGATCGAGGTCAGTGACCCGCCCTCCGCTTTCGAGGACCTGGATATCGATGCGATGGTCGTGGATGACAAGTATGATGGTGTGCGCTTGGAGAAGGAAATGACGCAGGAGTTCATTGATGACATGATTGAGCGGTTTAAGAACGGAAAGAAGATCCATCGCAAATACGCTTTCCAAATAATCAAGGCCGTCAAGGATCTTGTCTATGCGGAGCCGACGATGGTGGAGGTGGGTGTTAAGGAGGGTACTAGGTTGACGGTTTGCGGTGACACGCACGGTCAATTCTTCGATCTCCTTGAGATCTTCCGCCTCAACGGCTACCCTAGCGACACCCATGCTTATCTCTTCAACGGTGACTTTGTGGACCGTGGATCGTGGTCGACGGAGATTGCTCTCCTGCTGTACGCCTACAAGTGGCTGCGCCCCAACGGTATCTTCCTGAACCGTGGCAACCACGAGACGGACGACATGAACAAGGTTTATGGCTTCGAGGGCGAGTGCAAGGCCAAGTACAACGAGACGGTGTTCAAGGTCTTCTCCGAGTCTTTCTCGGCTCTGCCGCTGGCTACGTTGATCGGCAACAAGTACCTTGTGCTCCACGGTGGTCTCTTCTCGGATGACAACACTACGTTGGATGATATCCGCAAGCTGAACCGCCACAACCAGCGCCAGCCTGGACAGCAGGGTTTGATGATGGAAATGCTGTGGACGGACCCGCAGACCGCGCCCGGTCGCGGACCCAGCAAGCGTGGTGTTGGTCTTCAGTTTGGTCCGGATGTCACTAAGCGCTTCTGTGAGAAGAACGGTCTGGAAGCGATCATCCGTTCGCACGAGGTGCGCATGGAGGGCTACGAGGTCGAGCACGACGGACGGTGTATCACCGTCTTCTCTGCGCCGAAGTACTGCGACACCACGGAGAACAAGGGTGCCTTTATCAAGATTGGACCCGAGCTCAAGCTTGAGTACCAGGTGTTTGAGGCTGTTCCTCACCCGGATATTAAGCCGATGGTAAGTGATGTATTATCTTGACGAAAAGTGCGGACTGGCAGGCTAATGTTGATATTCCAGGCGTATGCGCAAAACTCTCTCATGTCGTCGATGATGTGAGAGGCTTGACTGCTTTGCAAGCTGGGCGTTCATGGGATGGATTGGGAGCGAGTCAATCTCACCGATCGGACGGGGACATGATACATATACACCACGATTCAGGATAGGAACTGCGACGTTCAGATGAGAAGAAGAAGAAGAAGATGCGGAAAGCCTTGGATTACACAGTACGAGGGCCATGTATCTACGGATGATTGACGACGATCTCGTGAACTCTTTGCATAGCGGAATATCTATCTATCTATCTTGCTAGTTATACTTTCTGTTTCAAGGCTATCTAGCTGTATGTCTCTGCGGTTAAGTTGTCCCGCATGTGCAGGTCTGGCGACGTTGGATTGGCTGTGAGAGGGGAATTGGTTGGACGAATTACTTCGTGTCGTGCGTCTTGCCTGCCAGTCGGAGTTCTACAACCATCAATTAGATAAAAGACCGCACTGAATTGTATGGGGGAGAATTGAGGGTTAAAAGTGACTGTCGGTGCAGAGAATCCCGACGGCAGGGACCCCGCGATTTCCAACCGACGTCGTGTTTATTTCTCGCTCTTCTCCCATCTTGGCTCGCACTCTTTTCTCTCCCTCTCTCTCTTCTGTTCTTCTTCTCTGCTTGAGTTATTCCTATCTATTTAATCACATAATTATTTCCTTCATCATGGAATACGAACCCCAGACTCGTGAGTGACACTGACTGCTCCTCTCTACAGCCCACACTAACCCCGCCTTCCCCTCCGCAGCGCAGTATCTCACCTCCGACAAGTCCAGCTTCGCCTCCGTCTCGGCCCATGAACGCTGGCCCGTCATTCTGGTATGTATGATGCGATCCCATATCACAGTATAAGCCTTGACTAATACTCCTCTCGCATAGACTGGTGCGATTGATGATCTGCACCGCAGCGTCGCCGATGTAACCGACGAGGAGAAGCGTCAGGAAGGAAAAGCCATCATCGGAAACCTCGCAGCGTTCAAATATGAGCTGCAGCACAACAGGCAGTTGACGTGAGATCATTATCCCCGCCTATACCCGACAAACAAACAGTCATTGACCATCTACAGCCCCCTCCCCGACGATGGCCAGCCCGACATTGCGACGTACAACCAGGAGCTGGAGCAGCGGGGAAACCCTTCATGGCACAACGTCGCATGGCTCTACTCAGAATGCTACCTCTGTGCGTGCAATTGGCATACCTCCATACCTATACCTCAGCTGACAGCCACCAGACAGACGTCTGAGCACCTTCTTCTCCCTCTCTAAGCACTGGAAGGGCTATGACGTGTTCGCCCGCCAGAAGATGTCCACCTTCAAGTCCTCGCGGCCCGCCGTCCTCGAACTCGCCGCACGATACAAGGAACTGGCCGAGGAGGCCAGCAAGGGCACAGACGGCAAGACCCCAGAGCAGATCGAGCAATCCGACCGTATCCTCTTCTCCGAGATGTGCGAGATCTGCCTCTGGGGCAACGCCACCGACCTCTCCCTCCTCACCTCCCTCACCTACGAAGACATCCAGAAGCTCCAGGGCTCCGAAGCCCGCAAGGCCTCGGAGAAGAACATCCTCGTCAACGACCTCGACGCCTCCTTCGACGTGCTGCACCAGGCCCGTCGCGACCGCAAGAACCTGGACCGCCGCGTCGACATCGTCCTCGACAACTCCGGCTTCGAGCTCTTCGTCGACCTCATCCTCGCCGGCTACCTCCTCTCCGCCGGCCTCGCAACCACCGTCGTCCTCCACCCCAAGAACATCCCCTGGTTCGTCTCCGACGTCACCCCTCCAGACTTCGCCGCCCTCATCGCCGCCCTCTCCGACCCGCAAGCCTTCTACACTACCCCCGACGAGTCCGGCAAGACCTTCGACCCCCTCTCAGAGAAGGAAGTCTCCGAAGTCAAATTCCTCTTCGACCACTGGGGCCACCTCCACGCCGAAGGAAAACTAATCATCCGTCCGCACTCCTTCTGGACCACCCCGGGGAGTTACTGGCGCATGCCATACGTAGCCCCGGACCTCTTCAACGACCTGAAAGAGAGCGAATTGGTCTTGTTCAAGGGTGACTTGAACTACCGCAAGTTGACCAACGATGTATTTCCTCCCCACCCTCACCCATCATTCCATCTTCAAATTCTAATCCGATTAAATTATATAGGCCGCATGGGCCCCCACAACCCCCTTCACAGAAGCCATCGGCCCACTGGGCCCGCAATCCGGCGTCCGCGTAATGGCCTTCCGCACCTGCAAGGCCGACGTGGTGGTTGGTCTGCCCGAGGGTGTGGATGAAGAGCTCCGCCAGCTGCCCAATGGTGGGGGCGACGAGGCGAGGAAGTGGGCGTGGAGTGGGAAGTGGGCTGTTGTGTCGTTTTGTGATGGGAAGGCTTAGATGGCGTAGATGATATATTTAGATGATAAATGATTGATTTGATAGATTTGAATGGGATGGATGGATTGATAGATGGGGCTCAGTTGGATATGATATGTATACATCTTTTTGATGGTTGAGGTGTTATATGGTTGCGTTTTATTTCTCGTTCATGATAGTGATAACGAGAGATTAGACTAGAATTGAGTAGTTGAATATATGGATATAGAAGATGTAGGTAGAGGTGTGGAGGGAAATAAAAACTAAGATTACGTACGATCAACGATCAACGGACTAGAGCTAGAGCTAGAGCTAAGTAGTGAGTGATTGACATCCACATCAACAGAGGAAAAAGAACAGGTATCAGACCAGAGCAGACCATATCACCATATCACCATACCACCGAACAAACAAAAGACAGATCAGATCAGATCAGATCAAACGAGACCAGACAATAAGGAGAGGTATTCACTTCCATCACAACACAAAGGGAAAAGAGCGGTTCGGTTCAAGTATCAAAGCTATCCGTGACAAGAGAATGATCCTTTCATATATCCATCCATCCATGCTTCCACCATCCGTTCCATATCACTCCGCGCCGTTGTTCCCATCTGACATATAGGAGATAGAAGATAAAAGAAGAAAAAGAAAACATTAAGAAATAGGTTCAAGAACCGATAAGGCTTGGTTCGTATAAGTGCGCATATTCTCTTTTCCCTTTCGGGTTTCCTCTTTTCGTTGCTTGAGACGTGCTTGGGCCTGCAGTTTGCGGTCCATGGGGATGGAGTCTCGGGGTACGACGGCCGCGAGGCTTTGACGGCGCTTGGCGCGGTCGAGGACGTGTGAGTCCGGGAGGGCTGTGACTGCGTCGAGGCTATATTTGGAAGGGGAGCGGCGCGCGCGGGGACGGCCGTGGTGGCTGTCGTCGAGGTTGTTGGCGAGATGGTGTGCGAGGGAGGTCATGGTTGTGTTGGTTGGGGCGTAGAGACTGCGGTAGGTGTTGGTGTTGGTGGATTTCTGTTTGGGACGCGGGCGGGTGGAGGGTGGAGGGTGGTGGTGATGATGGGGGTAGTCGGGTGGAGAGGAGGGCGGGATGGTGGCTGGTTCTTCGTCATCGTGATGCTCGTTTTGGTAGCGGGTTTTGGGAGGTTTGAGGGATTCGCCAAGGTAGGCGAGTTGGTCTTCGTCGGTGATGCCCATGGCTTTCATGGCTCGTTTGAGGTCCAAGTCGCCGGCGGTGGTGGTGTATCGGGATGGGTAGGAGCGGCGTTCTTTGGCACGCGGGCTAGGACTGGGTGGCTCATCGATGTCCGCGGTGTTGTCGTCTTCGGCGTCTTTTTGGGGACTGTTCTGCCCGAAATCGAAGACATGCACACCGGTGTAGTTCTTGCGAGGGCTCTCGGTGTGGCGCGCTCGAACCTGGGTGTGTGGGAGGCTCTCGATCGCGGTGAGTTTGATCTCGAGCTGGTCGATCTGCTCCTGCATGCGACGGCGTTCCTCGTTGAAGGACTCTTTCAGGTCCTCCTCATGATCGCGATGTTGTTGAGATGCGGTCTTCAGCCGTTCGCGGTACTCCTGGATGCGCGTTTCCAGTTTGGCCTCGCGTTGCTTCAGCTTAGCTTCCTTCTCCTTCCGGCGTCCTTCGTATTTGCTCATCTCCTGCTTCACCCGGGCTAGGGTCTGCTTGAGGGACGCGTTCTCCTTCTGTAGCTCGCAGGCTTTCTGTTCAGAGCTGCGCGCGAGGTCTTGCAGTTTGGTGAAGTCGGACTGCTGAAGCTTCATGTCGTCGATCTTGGTCTTCGCTTCGTCCAGAGCCTGCTGGGTCTTGCGGAGCTCTTCCGTAGCCTTCTCTGAAGAACTTTCGGATTCAGATTGCTCAGCGATATCATCGACTTCGTTCCCTACAACGCCGTGCCGTTCCAGCAGTTTGCGTAGTGAGTTGACGCGGTGCTTGTATTGCAGAGCCAACGCGGTCTGCTTGGTGAGGTCCTGCACCAATTTCTCCTTATCGGCATTGGCGCTCTCGCCAACCATGGTCGATGCTAGGTGGGTAACATGGCGCTCCATCTCTGAGACTTTGATCTCCTCCTCCCTCAACTTATCGGCGAGTCGCGACGCTTCTTCATCCTTCTTCTTGGCATATGTTTTGGCGGCTGAGCGGTACTGGATAAGCTTTTTGATTTCCCACGTCGTTTTTGTCCGGTAACTATCAAATTCGGCTTTCCAATATTTCCCCGATTGCGACCGTGGCTCGTTCAGGTTGATGGTATCGTCGTTGTCATCTTCCGTTGGCGATGGCCTGGACCCCTCGGATGAGGGGTTGGGCTCGAGGTCCTGTGACGAAAAGAGCCCCGTGCCCTTTGACTTTTCTCGCGAATCCATCAAGGCTTGCGTCAGTTTACTGCGAGGTTTGAACTTTCCGTCCGAAGAGTTGGCCGACCACTGGCTGGAGAAGTTGTTGGATGAGGAGGTGGGGGTTTTGTTAGGTTTCGTGAACGGGTCTTCCCGCTTGCGCTCGTTATCGACGACCCCGTCGCCGAACGACACGGTTTTGCGACGGTTGGATGCGGTTCCGGGTGTTACGAGGATACTTTTTGTAGGCGATGCCATCGCGTTCACTGCCAGATCCAAGTCGGCTTTGGAAGCCTTGAAAGCATCCCCTGTGTTTCCACTGGATGGTTTCAACGTGATGTGATCATTCAGCAGCTGATTGGTCGATGGATTCTTCGTCTTCACAGCAGCAGAAGTGGTAGCAGCAGCAGTAGTAGTACGGTGGGTGGATTCGTCGTCATCGGCACCTGGGGTACCAAACAAGGCGCTCTTGAAAGCGCGGATCGCAAACACGGGAGCGGGCGTCTCGGGTGGCTCTCCGGCCCTTGAGTTGTCTATGGGCATAAACAAGTTAGAAAAACAGGCCAGCGCGCGATGAGCGCGGGTGGGAAACGGGGTCAGATGAATTGGAAGGCCATTATTGGGCCGTATATGGAGGGCAGTGGAGGGAAGGGCGCGCGCACGCAGCAGCAGCAGCAGGGCGGGCAGCAAGCCATACTACTCGTAGCGACCAGCAGAAAGTACTAACTAAGGGAAACACACGCACCTGAGACCTGGTCTTCCTGCCCAGTGATCCACCCCAGCATCGCGTCTGCAGGGGACAATAGAAACCGGCGATTCACCAGCAATCAAATTATGGGACTGAACGAGACACGCATGGCACCAACAAGACCATTGGGGGGCCAGAGGATTGACGTGGAACGCTGTGCTTTGTTTACGGCGATGATGCGCCAAGTCACGAGCTGCCCGCCCCAAAGGCGGTGGGCGGAAAAACGACGGGGCGGCGCTTCCATTGGGCGTTCATATACTCGCTGTCGGGTTACCGCTCTTTTCCTCTCTTCCCGTCTTTTGAACTGCTACAACTAGTAGTATTCCTCTTGCCATTTCCTCCCTCCCCCTCCTCCCTCCCTCTCTTGTCTAATTACCTTTCTCTCTCCACCACATATACTTCTACAACCCTTTCTTCCCCTTTTTCCTCCCAATTCAGATATGTTCTCTACTGAGCTATAGAGGGCTGCAGCTTCGGCTGCATCTTTGTCACTAATTTCCGTGGCAAAGGCCAATCTCGATCACGGTGCATCCACTATCTTCACCGCCCGACCAGCGCCCCGCTATGCCTCACAAACAGAAGAAGAATTTCAGCAATGCCCCTAAGCACGGCTCTCCCCGAGCGGAGAAAAAGCAGCAGCAGCCGCAGCAGCAGCAGCTCCGTCCAGACTCGCCGTCTTTCTCGCCGCCGGTAGTTGCCCCCACCAATTATCAGGAGATCCACCAGAACGAAGTCGAAGCATTGCGCTCCATTTACGGTGATGACTTTGAAGAGGTGCAGCACAGGCGCTCTGCCTGGCAGGTATGTGATTGTCGCATTGATGTCGCTCGATGCATGACTGACCAACAAGCTCTATAGCAATCGTCCGAGGTCGCATTCAAGCTTCATCTGCGAGCCTCGTCGAACCCTGACGTCCACCTGGTATTGCTCGTCGAGCTGCCCACCACCTATCCCAAGACCTACCCCAACCTATCCCTGGAAAACTTAGACGATCTCCGAAAAGGCGCTCGATCGAGAATTCAAGACATTGTACAGAATAAGCCGAAGACCCTTCTCGGCTCTGAAATGATATACGAACTGGCGGTGTCCATTCAAGACGTCTTGGAAGATGTGGCTGAGGCTCAAGCTCAAGACAAGGATCTTCCGAGCTTAGAGGAGGAGCGAATGGAGCAGGAAGCCGCCGCAAACCAGCGAGCCGAGCTAGAGCGACAAGAGGAGCTCCGGAAACAGGAGGCAGCCACAGCAGAAGAAGAGCGTGCTCTCCAACAACTCTTGGAGGACAAGGTCCGAGAGCGGGCCAAGGCACGATTGTCCCGACGTAAAAGTCGCACCCCTGGGCTGGATGCGAACGGGGACACTGATGCTGTGGAGAACATCCCGGGGGCCATCACCTTCGACCCTCCGTTAGCTATGACGGATACGGACCAGGCCACCCTGGTCTTCCGCGCGGTGTACGGCAAATCGCTTCTCCAGATCGGACCAGGAAAGGAGACATATACCGTGAGACCGGTCGTCTCCGACAACCGGTCCCATGCGCCTTTGCTGGTTCTGAGGGAAATCTCTCTGGATGAGAAGGGAGTCGAGCCCCTTCTGTTCCGAGAGAAGATGCGCTCGAGTGAGGACAGGCTGGAAGGCCTGAAGAAATTACGGCATCCCAACCTGGTGGATTTTGTTGGGTTCAAAATAACCCGACCCTTGAGCATGCAGGACAGTCAGGATAGCATCTGGACTGTGTATGCTCTCCAAGAGTATTCGAACAAGGGAACATTGGCCGAGTTCTTGGATATTGTCGGGACCGTTCCTGTGGAAGTACTCCGCAGCTGGACAATCCAGCTGCTGGAAGCCTTGGAGTTCTACCATCGTAGTGGTTTTGTTCATGGCAATATTCATTGTGGTCGCATCCTATTGTTCAGAACTCGTA